GCCATTATCTGTTCTTTGAGCCACGACACCATAGGATCCACCTAGGTGTCTTTCCCTATCGCTTAGTTTACCTACTTGAGCATTAAAGTCACCGGCCACTATTACTACATCCGAGCGCTTAGCTTTTCGGAGAAGGTCCGAAAGCTTTCTGTGAAACTCTTCTTTTACATCATCTGAGCTGCAGTCAGTGGGAGAATAGGCAGAGACGACGAAGAGGCAACGACGAGTGTCCCTATCTTTCCGGATTCTTACTGTTCCGTTCAGTCGGACAGCGCACAAACGACTGTTTACTGGGATCCACTCTAAGAGAGCTAGTTCTGCCCTAGGACTCAATGCTATACCTACTCCGGCGAGGCCACGGGAAGCAGAATCAGGGCTTCCAGATACACGAAGCGTAAATCGAGTCGGTTCTTTATTTTGGCATGGTGAGGTCAAATGAATGACGCTACTTGGATCCTGTATGCGCGTTTCGGAGACGCAGCACACATCGATGGCGTGAGATTCTAAAGTTTTAGCTAAGGAAGCCTGCTGTCCTATTTGGCAAAGTGTTCGTACGTTAAAAGCTCCTACGTGTAGTTTAGAGCGTGGTTTCAGGAGATCAGGAATGGCGTTCAACGTACTCGAATCGTTTGCCCTAGCGGTGCGAGGTGATAAAGAGACGTGAGGAGGGTTAGTCGGGAGGATAAGAGAGGTATTAGGAGGTGTAGGAAGGATTTGAATATGACCAACTTGGTATCGGATGCTGTTACGGGTATGAGGGCTGATGTCACTTCCCGGCTGCCCACACCGTGGAAGGGTATTTCTTGAGGAACCTGAAAAGGAAATTGGATTAGTGTTGGTCTTGATGACCTGGGAGCATGACCGCAGAGCCCAAGGGACAACTGCTTGAGGCCGGTCGCGCACGGCCTTCTTGTGGAAGGTTTTTGACGTGTTAGCTCCGTTCTTCAAGGGGCCTTACCGCCGGAGACGGAAATCCATGGGGTAAGGTGAGGTGTGCATTTTTAGGGTCGACCATTTCTAACCCCACCCCTCCTTGTGGGAAGGCAGCATCGCTGTCATGCTGGTTGTCCGAGGGAAACACCTCACTGCTGTCACACCTCTCTACAGTCAGCAGTACGACTTCGCCCTCAGACCTTGAGTTGCTGCTTTTAGTCTTACTGTTCGCCAATCGACCTGCCTGGCATGGTAGAACCTGCAGGAACATATGTTCCAGCCAATATAGCTCGGTTGGGTCATCACGATAGGCAAGCCCGACCACCGTGTCAAGATAGCAGCTTCGATCGGGGCACTAAAGGACTGGATAGACACGACTACACAGAGATCAGTCAATTATTAACTAAGATTTAGTATATAGGTTTATTAGCGTCACTAGACAGTAAAGGTATTAAATCAATCAATGGACTACAGATTTAAAGTTTGTGAATACTCCCAACAATTTGAATAAAAACATGGTCTAACAAAATAAACAAGCAGAATTTAAAGGATAATTCATTTTTCCATGGACATTTATCAGCTTCTTTTAGTGTGATGATTAGGATGAGACATAAAACACACAGAAAACCAAGAAAAGAGTTACGTATTTGATCTTAATATGAAAATTCCCAGGATTGGAGATGGCATTTCAGTGAATATTCAAATTATGTAGAGTGACCGGATGCAAACCTATAGTCCAATGACTGAGGATTTATGAGATGAATGTGGATGATAGTTATAGAACTCGGATGATGTTGCCTAATATCAGTTGTAATAAAGCGATTGTATTCATTTTTTCACCTTCCTTCAAACCTAAAGCAAAGTTTCTTAGTATTTTCCATTCTTTGACCTTATTTGCTTCTTTTAACAAACGCTGTGCAGTTGGATTGCCGCTAGTAGTGGAATCCAGGATGAGCGTTTCATATCACATAGGACTTGTCAACTGAATATACCTGCATCTTAGTGCTGGTTTTTATAACGAGAATCAAATTCATTACATATCGCCTTAAACATCATTTATTAGGGATCCACATACCCCAAAAAGGAGTGGCCCCAATTCAGTTCTGCATACTTACAACTGCAAAGCATGGACAATTACAAATATATGTTTCTTATGATTAGCTTTCCATCACAATTGTTAAGTTACCGCTTTTCTGATTGATATCTCTTTTAGTTTCCTCATTCTAGATATGATATGCAGTAACGTAAACTGATTGAATTATTTTAATCCATCTAACTCATTAAATAGGTACCCAGGCTAACGATACTACACTGTAGTCTAAACCAAAAAAGGAGGAACTGTGTTAAGATCTGGAACTAAGTGATTGAAATCGAATACCTTAACTATTAAACCACAGAACTCACACACTGATTGATACATATTCATGACATATAGTGAGTTAACTGTGCTTAACTGGTTTTAAGTACGTATGCTTTGTTGTTGTTCGCATTTGAATTGCAATAATCGCCCAATTTATGGTTATTTCTATCATACATGTTGTAATTATTTTATTTTATTTCATTCTGTCTTTCACTTGTATTCTTTTCCTCATTGATATTTTTCTTTTCCATGAAATGACTTACTTTTTGTGTTCTCTTTTCTTTTGGTTAATATTATTAAATGTTATGATTCATTTTATATACGCGTCTATTTTTGGTAACATTATGATCAGAATTATCAGTCTATTCTCACTTGTCCCTGTTCATATTCATACAAAACTTATGTATTAATATTAGTACTCAATTGTAATGGTAATGATGAGTCATCTACCATTATTAGGGGTTTCTTTTCAATGCAAGCGCGTTACAAAACAGTGAAAAATTCACTTTTTAAGTAGTTTACATTTGACAGTGATAATATATATTTATAAATAATACGAGTCATATAATCTCTTGAAGCTTCCCTGATAGTCAATAAAATCTATGGAGTGATATGATGGCCAAGGCCATGGGGCCCCCCAAATGCCCTGTTAAGGCCGATAATGAGAAGAGACCATTATCTATCGAAATGCTCTCAAGTGGCCACACCTGTATAGCCGTTTCCAAGGTAGTCCTCCTCATCGTATTTTTGTATAGGGGGTGTTGTTGGAAATGAGAGAACACAAAGTGAATGACCGTCTACATAATCAGAAAATCCTTCTCTATGACGAAGACAATCTGGGGCCTGGTGGGAACATGTATCAGGTCAAGTTGTCAAACCTCACATCAGCATATTAAAAGAGAAAATGCCCAAGATGAGGATGGAGATAAACAAAAATAATAATATTCATAGCAGTGGAAAGCTAATTATAAGAGATGTACTTTAAAAGGAATGAAAGATATTGAATAACAGTGTCCACAGAACGACACAAAACCGAAGATTCTAGGTCATGTTATACATGGTTTAGTTACTGATTAGGATCATCACATGGAATCATATATCGATCGACGTAGATTAATCCAAAACAGTCAACCACTATGCAGGCTACTGTGATGCATTTTCTAAACAGTCATTATCTTTCTTTTAAACCACTCCTAAGTCAATCAACATACAGTGTCATAGTAAGTAATTGATTGAGCAACACGGTATGATATATTCCAGCCACTTGACTTAACGGAATTTCGCAGTCTCTTTAATTGATTAATCATTTTAATACACAAAACTCTATGTTGAATTTCAAATGTACCCAACTCATTGGTCTCATTATATCCCAACAATGCTTCAGAAACACCTATGGTTAAATATTTCCAGACAAAAATATATATGTATATGAGCGCATACTGAGCGAATATTCATCTAACAAATCGTAAAAAAGAAATGGAAATTTACCGGGAAGAAACAACATTAAACAAGACTAATTATCTTCATACTTATTTTAAAGATAATTGATAGGAAAAAGACAGGCAAACAAATATAACTGGGGAAAGTTAAAATATAGAATAAGACAAATTATCAGATACTTGCCATTACTCATTAGACAATAAAATGAATATTTATTGACAGGTAGTTCTACATCCAACTACTCATTCATCACAAAGAAAACATAAACATATGATTTTTAGTTATTCATTTTCATTGACTCCAATGAAATAGCCTGAAAATTAGTGAATTATAAAGGACATAAACTCAAACTTTCAATGGGTTTCATTCCAAAAATTTTAGATAGGTTAATTTATTGTGTCCATAATACAAGAATAAAAAGTAAAGAATTGCACCTATTAAAATGTTTCTTTTTCCCCTAATCCTTTTTTTTAAATTGAATTCACTGTCCACAGACGTTTGATAATAGAAGAATGGAGTGAGAGAGGAGTCTGAATGTTTATGTGGTGATGAGAATACAAGACTGAAAACGGGTAGGTCCTTTCATGTTACGAAAATAAGAATTCCAGAGAAACACTTATTTTAACACACTGAGATTTGATGATGAGGGTAATGATAGTAGATCCCAAATGCTAGTTCGTATAGGCAAGCGTCTGGTATCTCTGACAGGAGAAGAGGGTATATTGGTGGATGAGAGGTAAGTCTAACATTGTGATGAATAATAACCAACAAGAAAAAACAACACACACCAATCTCTGTAGACAAAAACATTTTAGAGTAATTGTTGTGATAAGAATTGATGTACAAAGAGAAAACTTGAGATATATACCTAAAAAATGATCAACTCAATTTAAGCTATACGTAAATATGACAACTAACAAAATGTATCTCTGGTAAAAAAAGAACAATGATGAGCAATAGTATTGTATGATGTTCTCGTACAATAAAATTCTTCAGTGAATAGCAAGTTTCGGGAAATATGGATTGCAAGTGCTTATGTGCTATCTATTTTGACATATGATACTGAGTCAAGAAAATCTTAAGGTTGAGGGAAAAGGGCAGCATACATCACAAACTTTATATGTGAGTTGTTATGAAGCCATAATATCAGTAGAAAAAAGACAAACTACTTTAAAAGCATAATAACGAATTAATGGACAACATTCGATCTGGCTAAAAAGTGTCATTTCATCAACAGACAAAAAAGGTAAGCAACTCAAAAACTTACCAGCTTATCGTAGGAGGAAGAGAATAACGCTTATTTGAAAAGAAACGTGCAATGCTACTACTTAATGGTCTTCTTTGTAACACTGTCACATTACAATTATTATTGTTAGTAGTGGTAATGGTATTAGTAGTATCAATAATATCACCACTACCATGACATCCAGCAGTAACAGTATTGATTGTAACAGGATTTGTTGTAATATGACTATTTTTCGGTAATGGAGGTATAGGTCCTAAACTAAGAACTTCAATAAGTTCAAGGAATCTCTGACGTTTTTGCTCTACATGGGGAGGTAATTGTATAGTACTTAAATCCACTGACAAAAATGACTGGATTCCAGGTAATAAAGCTGTAAAAACAATTTTAGAAAAAGAGAAAATAAAGAATTATTGACTAACAATCAAGTAAAATTTTTATCTAATTGACTTGAGAGTTACTATTATATGGATTGAGTAAGCATTTTCAGTAAGCGAAACAATGACAGACAATCATAAATAACAGAACATGACGATAGGTATTGTAAAACTAAAGAATTCTCAAATAAGCCGATTAGATAAGTCAATTTGAAACATCGTAAATGTTAAACTATGTTAGGCTGGAAGTAGGTATCAAATTCATTTTGTGTCCTGTTAGGAGTATAAGGGTGGTTTCTATTTCTCGGCTGCCCATGACGTGGGATACTTTTTCAGGTGTCTGAGAAGGAAACTTGGTCAAGAATGGGTCTTAACAACCTAGGAGCGTGACAACATAGCCCAAGGAGCAACTCCCTGAGGCCGGTCTACGAGAACTGGCCATCAGGTCACCAGATACACGGAGGGTTTATCTCGTCGACTCTCCATTTTGCCGAGATGAGGTCAATTGAATGACCACACTAGGATCCTGTATGTGTTTTTTGGAGACACAGCATACGTCAATGGTACGAGATTCTAGGGTTCTAGCCAAAGAAGCCTGTTGACCGATTTGACATAGGGTGCGTACGTTGAAGGCTCCAATGTGTAGTTTGGAGCGAGGTTTCAGTAGACCTGGGACAGTGTTTTGCTCATTAGAATCGTTGGTTATGGTGACACTTGAGGGGGAAGCCGAAAAAGGAAGTTTAGAGGTGAAAGTCGATGTAGGAGGAATAATAGGAAGTGAAGAGGGAGGTTAACTATGAGTACAGTGGTCTTGAGTGCTGTTAGAGGTATGAGGGCGGTTATCACTTCCCGGTTGCCCACACTATGGAAGGGTTCTTCTGGAGGTACCTGAAAAGAAAATTGGATTAGAGGTGGTCTTAGTGACCCGAGAGCGTGACGGCAATGCCCAAGGAACAACTGCTTGAGTTCGGTCACACATGACCCTTTTATGAGTAATTTTTGTGTTAGCTCCGTACTTGTTGAGACCTTACCGCCGGAGAGGGATATCCGTGGAATAAGGCAAGGTGTGCATTTTTAGGGTCGACCTTTTCTAACCCCACCCCTCCTTGTGGGAAGGCAGCATCGCTGTCATGCTGGTTGTCTGAAGGAAACACCTAACTGCCGTCACACCTCTGTACAGTCAGTAGTACGACTTCGCCTTCGGATCTTGAGTTTGTTGCTTTTAGTCTTACCGCTCTTCAACCGACCTGACATGGTAGGGCCTTGAGGAACGGTTGTTCCAACCAGTGTAGCTCGGTTGCTTTATCACGATAGGCAAGCCCGACCACCACGTCAAGGTAGCAACAACGGTCGGAATATAGTAGGACCTGAACGAATGAATGTCCCAGTCAATATAGCTCGTTTCGTTCATAACGATATCATTTATTTATTATTTATTTATTTGAACACATGAATATTGGTACAAGAGAGCGCCAATATATATGCGCCACACAAAACAATGAGAATTCGAAGAGAAATAGAAAAAAAAGAGAACAACGAAGAGATTGGTGTAAGGTAGTATGGTAGAAATGAGGGAACGGAAAGGTACAATCAGAAGGAATCTTTCAGGTAAGGGAGACACAACCACTTTTTATGAAGAAAGTAAAAGAAGCTTACAGCAGGATAGCCACTGACTTCTATTCTGAGCCATATCTGATAATGTCTCTAGCCACTGTGTAGCACCATCTCTCGGACCCCAACCAGGGAGTCGTGAAGGACTGACAGAAGTCAGTCCTTTGCAGCTTTCTTTCATGCCACGACACCATGTCATGCACTGACCACCTCTCCGCTTCTTCCAACCAGTCCCAGAGTCGGCAAATAATGCACGACGTGGAATTCTCTGGGACGACATTCGTAGAACATGTCCAAGCCACCGAAGTCGGTGTTTCAAGATGGTGACACCAATTGAATTATCATCTCTGTGCCCGAACACACGATGTCGAACCACTGCATTACTGACATGGTGTTGCCACTGAATGTCAGCAATCCTTCGGAGACAGCGATGATCGAACACAGAGAGTCGTCTAACGTCCTCAACTCGGAGACCAGGTTTCACAAGTATAGAGCGATATCAAGACAGTTACGGTCAAAAGAGGTGTCAAACCGATGTCATGGGGTGGAAGTAAACTAAATGATTAACAACAGAAAGCAATGTGGATAATTCTAGTTTTATAATTTAAAGCTACACAGATTGACAACGTCAGAGCTCAGCATTGTTAGAAAATGTATTAGCCCATGTAATCTCTGATCAATTTTCTTTCATGATTGTTTTTAAAAACGTAAGACTCCAGTCGATGAATATTTTTTCAAATGTCTAAATGCAACTTGACAAATAAGTATCGATTTGTGTATAAAGGTTCGAGTTGTGATTTGTTGTGAAATTTAGTCATCATGACTAGCAGTTCTAACTGAAACACATGAACTTGGGACTTAATGATTATTAAATCGAATGAACTCACTCATCAGGTACTTGATTGTGAGCCAGAACCTTATTGTGAGGGCTAATGATACTAAATGGCTGTCCAGACCGAATTAGATGAAGCAGGGATTGAACCTGGGACCTAGTGACTGAAAATCGGACGCCTTAGCTATGAGATCATTGCTCTACTCAATGATTAAACGCCGAATATTCTAATTACTAATCCATCCCCTTACTTTCAGGTAAGATTTTATAAAACATTTTTTTGACTCGAAGATTAAATCGTTAACAGTAAAAACGACGTAAAGGTGTGAATTATTTATTTTGGCACACAAAAACAACCAGTGTATACAGTCAAAAATTTGCTATATAAAGCATTTGGTCTCAATACAATAAAAGACGAAATACGTCAGACTAATGTAATTAATTTCACTGAATGTAAAAGATTTTTAAAAAAAAATATGTTAAGAAAAATTTACTTCTAGTTGGAAGCATAAATGAAAACTGCAACTACGATATAACGGGAAGTATATACACATAAAAACCCAATATTCAGACCTATATTTGGGTATTCGCCTTTGAGCCCCAATATGTGAGGGTTAGTGATACTACACAACTTTCCAAATCGAAATATATGCGTATGAAGTTCGAATATGTGACTGAAGTTGAAAGTTAGAAGCTCTAACCAACAGGCTATAGTTTCGTAATTACGCATGCTTACGCATATAGTGTAGAAATCAAGTGATGCTATTGTTATATGCAGAGCACTACGTAAAGATAGTAAATTGGTTGATGAGATATTGAATTTTCATAAACTGAAGTGGTTGGGACAAGTATTAGGTATACCCAACCATTGTCTACCCTGATGAGTGATGTTATTCATTTAATTGTTTAAACACATAAATATTGATAAAACGGGACACAAAATCTTATATGTGCCACAATAAGAAAATGAGATTATGAAGAGACAGAGAAAGAAAGACAAGTATAAAAATAACAAAAATAAAACAAATGAATGAAAATAAGTGAGTGAGAGTAAAAGAAATAATGGGACAAGCAATTTATTTAGGATGAGCGATGTTAGCTAGTGTAGAAGTGGTGAAGAAAGCTAGGGGAAATCAAACCAAGACGTAGCATCAGTTCATAAAGTTAGTGACTACTTGACTAAGCAGTGTAGGTAGATTCAGACGCCCCGGTTGGAGTGAGCACAATAACCACGATTAGTAGTTTTAAACGTTGGTTGACATGGTTTCAGATCGGTCGCAATAGTGAAAATGCATTCATCCTTTATTTTGCCTTAAATTTTGCGTTGGATTAATCCTCCATAAAACCATTTTCTATTTTCGTTTATCTTTATCGATATTTTGTCTTTCCAATTGTCGTTGTTACTACAGTATTTTTATTTTTCTAATATTCACCTCGTAAGTTTTGCTTCCTCGTGTTAATGTGACATGAGAACGGGCTAACACATTTGGCGGACTCAGTCAGTTGTGACCAGTATATGCATGTATCACTACTGATTTAAACCAAGTTAATGGATGTGAAGATGCCCACTTAAAATCAGTAAAACCACTAGTTGTACAAAGAGTCAGCATACAAGTGATTAGCTAACTCTAATCAAGTAACTCTATACTCATAGGATACTTTTTTAAATAAAAATATCACTTCTAAATAGTTGGTTACTTCATAGCGTTAAACGGCCTATGGTTTTAAATGAATAAGGAATATAACTAATGAATCTACTGAAACACTCATTAAGTCATTTGTTTTCGAGAGAAGCAATTTGCTTTACGCAAGTAAACTCAAGAATAATTTTTATTTGGTTTGAGTTAATACGAATGTCGTCTCATTAGTTAAAGGAATGCATTACATATATCAGATAACCATCATGATTTATGCTCTGGCAATGATAATATACGTAACGACAGGTTTATTTATACACAAATTTAGAAAAGAAAAGTCTTACAATATTTGTGAAACAAAGTCTACTATTAAGGGCAAACTGCATAAGTTAATAACGATAGCCTCAGAAACCGTCTAATACTCCCACAAATGTTAGTAATAATAGCAATATGATAATGACGTTACCGAAGTTGCTACCTAGACATGTTTGGGTTTGTTTGTTGTGATCCATTCAAGATATGTTGACCGGAACACTCGTTCCTTCAGGTCTTACTATATCAGGCAGGTTGGTTGGAGAATTAGACTAAAAGAAACAAAACTCTTGGTCCGAGGGTGATGTAGTACTGATGACTGTATAGAAATGTGACAGCAGTGAAGTCCTTACCTCAGACGACCAGCATCTGCAAAGAACCTGTCTCTCTAAAATTGAAGGGGTTTAAAAGGTCGATTATAAGAATAGCACACCTCAAGTACTTCCACGGGTTTCCCTCACAAGCGGCATGACCTTAAAAGTTACTCAGTTATTCATACGCAAAGTAGGACCGGGAACATACATGCACTGATTCAAGTTGCCACATAATAATAGCATAACGCTATGCTAGTGCAAAGCTTACGCAAAAAAACTATTTGCGAAACGGCCATGTGTGACCGGCCTCAAGCAGTCATGACCCCAGGTCATTAAGACTATTACTAGTCAATTTTTTTTCAAATACCTCAAAAACAAGTACCCTTCCATGGTGTGGGCGACCGGAAGGTAGGAACCGCTCAAACAACTCTAACAGCATTCGAGATTGGGCATATTAGTAGGAAAAAACATGTTGCGCAGTAACTCATGTGCACATCAGCATTTTTGTATCGGTACGTTAAGAAGACATGTTTTTGGTCAGAGAAGTGGTTAAAAAACAAAAATTCAGTCTCTGTGACCAACGTCATACTACTAATAAAAACCATCGACAGTACCCGTAAGTACTTTAGTATATTGGAAGGTGAGGAGCCCATTGTCATCTAGTTTGCTTTAAGGAGGTTGAGTGTTCATTTCATAGATATCCGGCATAACCTTCGCATGGTTTGGATGTTTGTGCAAAAGTAAGCAAGTTAAATCAGACATCCGGTAAGTCTCAATCGCCTATGGTATATTTAGTACCCTTGACTGAAATCGACATAAACTACGAGGCAGTAAGTTGCTAATCTACTTGCAGCAAGAATGAACCTGAAAATTTTATCTTCAGCATTTGCATAGTTATTGGACAATAATTGAACAACACTAGAAAATCAAGACGTTGATGGTTTTCTGACAAAACTGCAACACTATGAGCTTGACTGCCATCAGCTGATTCGAAAATCAAATCTCATGTTTGTTTATCTGAAGATCCTGACATTCATGTTCAGTGAACGCAGTGTCGATCACAGTAAGAGCTAGGAGCCAAGCAGGAATAATTAGTTGGATTTCGACTAGCAAGCATTCCCGTTCTGATGGGATAGGAGACTCAACCAAAGTAAAAAATGGTTGGCCAAACTGAAGACTTTTCGCTGTCCATGCATGCATTTAAATCCACACTTGTTATTCCACAAACACCTACCATATTTGAAAGATATTAAGAAACAGACCAGAGAAAAGCTTTTTTGCACACCACCATGATGAAAGCCTAGATAAATATTTTGTTTGACTTCATAATCTTTCAGTAGACACTGCTTGCACTCTTAGAAAAATTTGGTGGTGATCCCATCTTATTTTAGGCACATAAAGCTTTAGAACCCAACGAGTATCACATAAATTTAGAATTTTCTTTTTGAGCCTAGACAACTGCAGATATATTCGTAGACATGTAGAAAGTTATTTGCTTGTAGCTGCAACCAACATTGGACCTAGGTGTTTGTATGTTATTAGGTGAACTATGAAAAAAACTGATACTAGCAAATAAAATATCTCCAGCTTCAAAACGAACATGACTGGAAAGATATCCAGATACATACAATATGTAATGTTTACTATCACTTCAAATGGTTCAAATGGTTGTGGACGGAATAGAAGAAGCTTTCACTTAAATGATAAGAATTATCAAATATTGATAGTTAGGCTATATTATTGTGTTTAACACTTTATATGAGAGCAACTAAGGAACAGTAAAACAGGAGTACAGACTGTCACGATTCAAAAGCAGAATTACTTCCATGATAATTCTAAGAACAGTAAAGTACATTTCTAGTACACTTACCGAAATTCCAAAACTCCATTACGGATAAGACAATTTAAAAACAATATTATAACTCCTTTAGTAAAATTTACCAAGTGACTTACTCTCGATTATGGCCATCACAAAACGACAAAACCTACACCGGCTTCAAACCCGGCGGTACTTTCTTGCTGCTGAGATTGATACGGGATAAAGGCTATCATGAAGGTCCCAAGGTGCTAGGGTACGTCGTCCAAAGAAACTGGTCATACATTTTGACTTTTGAGAGGATGTAGAATTAGCGAATTAAATCCCCTTAACCTCCAGACAGTCTACTATTGTGTTTGGCAGGCAGAATTTGAGCATTCAATGTCCAATAAACTGAGGACAGAATCTACGGTTCCTAATTCGTAACATGATCTCATATGGTCGACTGGATTATACCCTCGAAATACTTAATGGATTTGCAAGTGATGCCGCATAACATAGTCGCCAATCCTTAATGAACCAGGGTTAACTCATTTCTTGTGTAAGTGGATTTGCACAGAAATACGTGCTACCAAAGTTTCTTGAAAGTCAGCAGAGGATTACGACCTCATCAGGCTGGCGACACCGTGAAACAATCTGTAATATCTTGCTGATGAAAAATACCTGAAGAATAATTCCACTACAATTTAACCTTTTGATTTCCAAGCATTTAATTGTTTGGTATTCTCCACCACACAATTAGCGAGTTATCTAAGTGTTTGTCTAAAGCCATAAGGTTCTAATTGCTAGTTTTTATCAGTGACTGAATCCCACCCAACTAACCAGAGAAACAACTTATATAGTTAAATGGGTTCTCCGAGTAATGTTAGCCGACATGATCAGCACTCAAGCAGCGGCAAAAATAAAAACACACAACCTAGTAGTGCTCATATTAACTGAAAACCATTAAACACGATCTGTACTGGGAAGACTTACTTCATGAGGTTTGTTATTTTACTTTGATCTTGAAGAAGAAAATACTCCCCACATGGAATAAGATGCATCGAGACTACCCAAAGAATTCGCCATAAGTGCACAAACAAGGCCACATGTGTTTCGCTAAATAACCTTACATAAAGCAAAATCGATCGCATTTGCGCCAACAAATGTTCAGGAGGTCCATCGAAGACGTGAAAATAAAGAGAGTGGGCGATATAGCATCAAATCATCACCTGGTGGTAGACCAGCTGGAGATGAAACTTAAGCAACATTAAAGAACTAGAAAGCAGCAATACAAAAGTGTAATACATCGGCATCATGAACATAGTGAGAAATAATCTAATGCAATTGTGACCTGCCTGCATGTGGTGTTTGAATGAACTAATGATTCCTTTGTGCTTGTTAAATGCTTGATTTCGAATTTCAAATAGAGTAAATTTATTTGTGCTTATCAAGTACTTCTTGATCCGACTACGTTATTTCTGGGATTCTTAGTTCGTGCTATCATTCAAATACCTTTAATCATCATACTGGATTACTCTCACTCTCAAACAATGAAAATTTGAACTGGACAGCAATTTGAATCTGTAATAGATGTAGGATTTAATTCGTCCAACAGATATACTACTAGAAGCGTAAACGAGATACTGGCGAGCACAGAGTCTATGCGAAAGTTATAGTCAGAACAAGGACAAATGGCTTCAAACTTTATCTGTTTCTAAACGTAGAAACAATTAGATTAGTACAATAATTAAAGGAATTAAAGTCATTAAGTGAAACGCATAAACACACCCACCGGTATTGTGTGCCTTATCGTAATGAATGAAACTATGAGTCACATCAATATAATAAGACAATAATGTCTTCCAATTGGTAAGTCACATGCAACAGGGATAGGTTACGGACACATCGGACCAGATCAACGTGGTGGGTGCTTAAACAACGATTTGATTGGTTAATTATAGACATAATTAACATTAGATACGAGGTACTCTTGATCAAAGTACATAACCAAAATCCTACGGCTGGGTGGGGCTTTCCTAGGACGGTTATCATCAGTCGATTTGAAATTAACGGATTTTTGCGTACGCCTTTCTGATCGGTTTCAGTTTCGGTTTGAGAAGGACAGGAGGCTTGATGGCCTGTGCTAGTCCTGACAATGATGATCTCTCAGTTGATCCAACTTTCTTTTAAAAGAGTCGACGGATGGAGCCTCAACCACGTACTGAGGTAATGAATTCGACTCGTTGATGATTCGATGGGAAAGTCGATAGTCCGCTGACAAGTAATTTGTTCTGGGCTTGCGAACTTTATTTGGAGCGTCCTCGTAAATTCTCTGTTTTGGAAGACAAGGAAAATGAGGGCATATCAGGTGCGGGTTTGGCACTAAGCAATTTGTAGACTGTAATCAAGTCGCCTCTAGTTCTGCGATGTGACAACGGGAAAAGGTTCAGCTTGGCCAGTCGAGCTTCATACGGAAGCTTCGCTATTCCGGGAATCGGCTTAGTTGCCGTTCTCTGAACCTTTTACAGAAGCTCACTGTCTTTTTTAAGCAGGGACTGGCCGCTTGTATGCAGTACTCAAGTTTAGGACGTACGACACTGTGTACAAAGTCAAAAACGTCTTAGCATCGACGTGACTATAAGCCGTACGTATTGACCATAACGTTCTAAACCCTTTGGCGGCTATTGCACGGCAGTGTGCAGTATTCTTTAGGTCTTGGCTAACGATGACTCCTAAGTCATTATATGTCTGAGCAACAGGTAGCTCAGTGTTATTCATCGTGTATGTATCTGTACCATGTTGACAGATATGCATCACAACACACTTGGAAGTATTTATCAGCAGCTGCCAGGTATGAGACCATTCAGATAATTTCTTCAGGTCATTTTGGAGTTCCAAGCTATCACCCTTACATCGCATCGTTCTCCATATATTGACATCGTCAGCATATGGCAAGACCGATGATGATAGGAGTCGAGGAAGGTCATTTGCATACAAGATGAATAACACTGGCCCCAAAACTGTACCCTGGGGCACTCCACTAAGCGCAGTTTCTCAGCTAGATAACTTTGAGTTCAGCCGTACTCTTTGTTGGTGCCCAACTAGGATGTCTTTTATCCACATCAATAGATTGCCTCCGATCCCGACATTTCTTAACTTATATAACAGCCGGTTGTGCGGAACTTTGTCAAGACAAGAATAACCTATTCTGAAGCCGTGCTGCTTCTCCGAAAGGATCCAATTTTTATCGAGATACTTAAACAGCTCCTTCCAAATAATCTTTTCTAATATTTTAACAACCACACTAGTTAGGCTAACGGGGCGGTAATTCTCAGGTTTGTGTTTCGTACCCGTCTTGAAGACAGGACTTACTATGGCGTTTTTCCAGTCTTTGGGTAAACGACCCTGCGTTATGGATAGGTCAAAGCATATACTTAAAGGGTTCGCAACGAAATTAGATAATTCCTTCAGTAGCCTAGGATGTAATTCATCGGGCCCCGTGGATTTACCTATGTCAAGCTTATTTAGTAGACCGAAGACATCGAGTACTTTAATGGTCACGCTATCCAGTGTATGTGTAAGGGATCTGTATGAGCTGACGGGAAGGGCGCTTCTATGGTATATACATTGCTAAAGTATTTTGAGAACACTTGAGCCTTACCAAAGTCGTCCTTCACTAATGATGCAGCAGTGTTATCTCCCCATAGAGCAGGAATATTTTCTCTTCTCTTTGTCCTTTGGTTTATCTAAGAATACAAGCGTTTGGGACATTCTATTGATTCCTTAACAATTTCCTCTTCGTACAACTTTCTAGACTGACGGAGGGTCGAGGCACAAGTATTCCGAACTTTTCGATACTGTGATTCTGTTTCATCGGTCCCCAGTAACCTAAATCTATCCCACGTTTTTCTTCTCTTACGGAGAAAGATACAGACCTCCCTACTGAACCATGGTGGGGAGTTTCTTGGTCCCCTTGGTATAGTCCAAGGGGTGTGGGTTGTGGTACCTTTTAAGTATGAATTTCAAAATGCGTCCCAAGCAGTTTCAATTGAGGACTCTGGGTCTATTGTCCGATCTACTAACTATGCTGAGTGCATGATATCTGGTATGTTTTCTTTCCAGACGTTAGGTCTGGATTGAGTTAACGCGTGCTCGTTATTGATAGTTATATGGAAGTCGAATGTTAAAACTGAGTGATCACTTTTACCTAGGGGTGGCATGTAATTGAGGTTCGCAACGTCCTCCTCATAGTGAGTCAATATAAGATGTAGTATGGATGAGTCAGTGTCCGGGTCGTACCTAGTCGCTTCTTTCACATGTCGCACTAGGGCACATGTGATAACCGCATCAACTAGTTCCTGCTCGAAGGAATTATCTGGTGATCTAGTTCGCAGATTTTCCAAGTCTACCAAAGGTGCATTGAAGTCCCCTAGGATTAGACATCGACCACTTTTGACCAAGTATTGAGACTGCTTGGCAGGACTTCATTTACCTCACAGCTTGGACTGCGATAGACCAAACCAATCAGCAGCTCTTGTCCCTTGCATTTCAAGCGGCAACTAACTTGTTCACACATCACACTCTCATGAGAAACACTGTCGATAATGGTGAGTGGGATAGCATTCCTAATGGAGCTACTCCCCCTCCTTTACGCCTTTATATTCTGTCGGCCCTTGCTGACGTAAAACCCTCGAAATCAAGTTCCATACTATCTATAGACTGTGTCAGCCAGATTTCTGTAACTGTAATTATGTCTAGCTTTGTAGAGTCAATCTGTACACATAGTTCCGATCGCTTATTGAGTAAGCTTCGGGCTTTAGTGTAACCGATCCGAAGCCTATTTAGGTGGCTTCGTGTTTTACCTAGAGTGGCTTCGGTATCATTCTCTGTCGAAGCCTTACAAGCCGAAAATTTACAATTTTCAGGTTCTTTTCGCCGGCGTGTAAGTTGTAGTTCTTTTTCGGCTTCCCGTCTTTTTACATGGCCTGCCAATGGTGAGTCCTAATGGATAAAAACTTCTGAACCCTTTAATTTATGTCCATTCTGTAAAATTAGGTTGCGTTCGTTCGAAGATTTGATTACTATTTTGAGCAGTCTGGATTGATTTACTTTGAAGTTCTCTAGACTCCCTAGTCTGTACACCTTTAGCAAGGTGACCCCGGTGATATTATGAGGCATGATTTGATTAAGCAGCTGTTTAATCAGTACAATGTCATGTTCAAAACGAGCTTTTGATTCAGAGCTCTCGCTCTTCTTGATTCTATGAAAAATAACTGATCGGTCAGCTTTCGATTTTTCGACTACTTTTACGGTGGCAGGATTCCCTTTTATATCACTACGTTGTTTCTTCCTTACAACCTGTACCCATTCGTCAACGGCGCCAGGAGAAGCAACAACGGTTGCGTCAAACCTACTGTTGGATTCTGGAGGGTTGTCGACGACCTGGGAGGTCAGGTTATGTTTCCCGCTAGGAACCGATCGAGCCTTGCGATTGCGGCTTCTAGGCGTTTCCTGCTGGATGCCATTTGGAAGATGAGGAACAGAAGAACCTTCTTTTCTTGAGTTTTTGTTTAGGACGGACCACTTTGGAGACTATGTTTTTTCTTCTTTGATCTGTGTGAGCCACCTATTTTCCAACTCACCTGAGTTTGCTTCATATAAATTTGAGTGCTGACAGAGCGAGTGCTGTTTGATATGTCCTGACTACGCTTGCTAAAACACTTTTTCGCAGCATCTAGCAGTGAGATGGCCTCGGATAACAAGCTGTTTGCATCCGAGCAGCACTGTTGACAAAGCCATAAGCAACCCTTTTTACTGAACCTCTTGAAAGCCGCAGGCGTTAAATTCGTGCAAACTTCGTGGTACTGTAGAATTATGGTCTACTATGATATTGGTGCTGCTCTAATAATAGACTTAATCCTAAAATTGTAGATTTTTCATGATATAACTGCCTAATCTATGAGATCTTACGTGGAAGTCACATCTATCGATTACACGAACTCACTGTATCGTATCATTTACCAATACATGATGTAGAATAATAATAATAATAATAGAACAAGGTTAGGCTAGAGAAGGAACAATATATTTAATATGAATAGAAGATATAAGGTAACATTCAAATGGACCACGCCTGCATGGCCGAGCTATGCCATCCGATCAACTCCAGTCCATTCAATTCATTGTTCGTCTTCTCCATCGTTAGGTGTTTCTCTGCGTTAAATAATCAATATATATTTTCCGAGTAATCTCGTATTCAGCTTTGAGGATTGTGTGATTATGGTCCAATGCCACTACAGTACCAGCCTTTGCACTCATCGCACTGCATGCCGCTTTCAACGGGTTAACGACAACCCGGAAGTTGGCAACTGCTTTTTTTGCACTGTTCGGTCATCAAAAAGGGGTTTTTTTAAGAAAAGAGCGAGATGCAATAATGCTCAGAGACAAAAAATGATCTATGACCAAAAAAGTGGAGAATTGTAGATTGTTAGGACCAAAAGTACTAACAGATACAGTAGAAAATAAGGTACTCAAGAGTACCGTTCATAAACTAATTGAGAAACAGTAAAAGATACTCTGGTCGAATGCTTCAACTGAAATAAATTCGATTAAAGTGAAAACGGTAGTCTTGATATGTAATAAACGATCAAAGTTTACTCAACGAGAAAAAATACCACTGTCCTTTTTTTAATACCAGAAATGATACTTGAATTTGTAATGAACCTAAAATAAAGCAATCTTTGTATTTTGCCTTACAATGAATATTTGAGGCATTGGTCAGTTGGGCGTTTTGACATATTTTGAGCACAATATTTAAGGGGTTTGGATACTTGGTCGTCACTCAAGGTCACCAGGTGGTGTTGGTTTAGCTTGTTTGCTTACTGTTCTTGCTTTTTCACGTAAGACCTCTTAAAGACTCTCGGTTTACTTACATCATAACATCGGACTTTAGTGCTTAATCAAAATTAAACAGGTCAATGCACTGATTTAGAGCGCTGTTTTGTATAGCTTAAGCTGGAGCGGCAATTGTCGCCGTCTAATGGTTTTCCTTATATTTCGTATGTCGAAAAGATTAAATGGTGGTTTCCTTATGTACTGAAATACTGGGGTTAGTATACTTGAGTTAGGAGTGTTTCTATCGAGAGTCAGCTACTAGACACGGAAGCCTGTTAAGCGAAAGCTTCTTCTATTCCGTCCACAACCATTTGAACTATTTGAGTTTGAGGGTTAGTGGCTAGTCATTAAAAGATGTTGGACTAATTGGTAAGATCTATCCTGAAAACAGCGGTAATTTCCATCCTAAATAACTGGTATTTAGCTTTTATAAGTTTCTTGATGTTTTTCAAAGTCCTAATCACCTCTAATCTCATTTATCTATATTTTAGAGCGCTTACTAAAAAGTCGCATTCTGGTTGCTGGTTTCTGATTATTTAATCCCTAAGTAACTCTTAAATTCGCTTAAAGTTGTCACTATGATATTATTAGTGTACCTTATAGAGAATCAAGATTGACATTGATAACTCACTGACTTATTGTTGTCGAAATAGTACCATAGGTTAGTGTGGGAAATTAGGATTAGGATCAAAAGTTAGGAGTAAGAGTTCATAAATTGCGTTCCGTAACTCTTAGTCTCGAATATTCGAACAGAAGGATGACACGATGATTCTAGTAATCTGAACTAGGTATGTGAGGTGTGGAATTTAAAGTCCGACTCTTGTCGTTCATGGCTTCTATCTTTTGCTTTTATTACCATTTAATATTTAGAAGGTCAATGTAGTCGTCTCAAAATGCATCACAGAGTGTTGAACATATGTCTACTGATCGTAGTTCTGAGGTGATTACTTACTATGACTACTTATAGTTGATAACTGTTCCATGCTATGCGTAGAAATGTGAATTGCCACACTTTATTTTCTTTATAACGTTTTCTAGAGTCTACCTACGGCTATCGATTCTAGTCAATCATTAAATTTTAATCTTCCCGCAATTTTACCTCTAAATTTATATTGTGTGTATTTCTCCATACCTTAAGTTCGTCTTCAAACAGCGGGATACATGGCTATACCACTCAAGGTAGATCATATACATAAATGAAAATGAGGAGCGGGCCCAGAATTTTCATCTATTGATCACATGAGGATGAAGTGTCACTCGCTCTCAGTCCTTAACTCCTGTCACGAAGTCTAACCCATTCTTCGACTGTATAATTGTTTGTTTAACTTTCTTCTACCTAAGTCCCGTATGATAAACCATTATTGAGGTCAGTAGTTAATACGCTTACCTCAGTATTTTTATCTTTAGGTTGGGCCTAATCTTCTTTCCCACTAAGGTTAGTTATGAATATACAATCTACTAAAATGAAAATGTTTTTCCCTGGCGAAAATTCGCCCCCTTCATACAGTGCTAAACAGCAGGATAAATCATCTCCATCAGTTTAATGACTAAACTAGTAAGATTAGTCCCAGTCTAAACTGGTCTAGTTACATTTTGAGTAGCGATGTCAGCGGTGTGGGGTCATATCACCTAGAAATCCTTTTGTTTAAGAGTTTATATCGTCAGAACCAGTAAAATTGTTTGGTCTGAAGTGTTGAATTGGTTGTAAGACAACCCTTTACTCAAAGTACGTGAGATCGATCATCCAGTCCCAGGTTGCTGGTCCAGCCACAGCCATCCAATTATCCTTTCTCCCAATGACAACTTCGATGTCACACAAATGTCAGTTTTATTCTGCTTCCATGCACTAACTGACAGTAGTTTTATTTACTCCTTCAACCGTAGAATCATCTTAAGGAGTCTATGTAATTGAGGAATGGTATTATCATCTCTCGCTGATCCTAATTATTTAGTATATACCCTTGAAGTATTACTCCGCCAAACGTTTTGGATAGTAATCTTTGTAAATTAAGTTGTACTAGTTTCGAGGTTAGGTTTTTCCGACTCCTTCAAGTTGGTCATAATAATATTGCGCTTTCAGATTTCATAAGTTTGTGTTCATAGTATGTAAACAGGCAATAAATCCATCATTTAAACCACCTGGTTCGTAAAATCTGAGTCCATCCAGATTAGAATTCTTTTATCATTTTCTTCCAGAAATTTTCAGTTTTATGGGTTTTCTGATGAATTTTCATCATACATATAAATTATGATATTTTGGGTGTCTGGATCACTCAACTCTCATAAACATAAGTCATACATTAATAAACAAGTTAAATCTCATATAGTAGGCCAACTTAGATTTCAGGTTCTTATGGACTTGTGTTCATGTCATATTAGTAACTGTAAGTTTATATCTTTTTTTAGTGTTCAATGTTGTTTTCTCAATTAATTTAAGTGTTGTATACAAAATCTCTGTACTTAAGTCTAATGTTCATTTTCTTCATCATAGCTTAAAATCATGGTGGACAGGTTCAATATTAAGTCCTGGGACAAATTGAGTACACTTACACGCATAATTATTAGTCTTCCAATCATCTAACGGTTATTTGTGCTTATCAGCCAATGTTCATTAGTACCGTCATGAACTTAATTGCTTGAAAAGCATCTTCCTGCTACAACTTTTGAAGAAATAGTATCATGTAGCTTCGCTTTTTTGATTCTGCTTTATGGTTATGCTCTGATCTAATTGTGAAAGAAACTTTTCGCAATTGCGACCACCACATATTTAGTTATCAGTTATCACGAGTATATTTATGTAGGCAATTGTGAGGTATTTTCAGTAGTATTTTTCGTTATCAACATATTTATATACATCCCGCCCCATTTAAATATTAAAGGTTCTATTTTTTATTGGGAAAGTTGCAAAAAAGAAGTGTATGGATATGTATAAACTTATGCAACATGTAGTGTCCAAATATCAATGTTCTCAACGATACAATAATCTTAGGAAGTACAATGTTTATTTTCTTGGAATTTGGTTTAACTTTGTTTTAGAATCATCTGGTCACTCTGTGTTGCAAGATCAGTTTTCATTAAATCAAATAAAATCAGTTGGCGGGATATGAAGTTTAATATTTGTTTTGTTTTGGGTGGACCGGGTGCTGGGAAAGGTACAGTATGCCAGCAAATTGTGAAGGTCAGTAAACCTAGTTTGTTTGAATTTACTTTTTGTACGGCGCTGACTACAACCTACATAATTACATGGCCCAGTCCACTAGCCAATGTCTCCATGAATCGATACCACGTTTTGGTTTGGCCACACCTAACTTTCTCCCAGCTTACTGCGTTAGCAGACACTGCTTGTCGAATTAGTCTGTGGGTGAGGATACGTATTACATATCCTAATCATCTCGGTAGATAAAGATCCACTACCTCATCAATCGATTTACTATATTCATATCATTTACGATTACCAACCTTCGACTAAGATAATCGTTTAGACCCTAACTAGGAACTCAACATATCTATATGTATGTCACTCAGATCATTAGTTAATTTTTTATCATCTAAACGGAGATTTGGTATTGATGGTTGACCTTTTATTTGGATTTTTTATTTACAAATAGTATGATTTTGTAATATTTTGCTTCCATACTACTTTTTTAAAATCGGTTTTCTATCTACCTTTTATCAGGAATATGGATTTGTACATTTATCTGCTGGTGAATTACTTCGACAAGCTCGCGATTCACCAGGTTCTGAATTTGCTAGTGAAATACAAGAACACATGAAAAATGGGACAATCGTACCGGCTGAAATTACCTGTGGCTTATTATATCAAGTTGGTTCAGGTTTTATTTTTGGTGGTTATTTCGTGTACATTTCGATTATTTTAGACTGACAATTTAATTAGTGTGTGTAAATATTTTACATCGTAAGATCAAATTAATTATATGTACCACTTACTTTTCTGATAATGCTCCGGTTCCAAAAAATAGATTGTCGAATGTGGATTTTTCGCCTGATATATTTTGTAGAGTTAATCGCGGCCAAACCAAAACGTGTGACTGTTGAATTGAACTTTGTTGATAGATTCAGACTACTTGGTTGTGATCATCTGAATTATTGTAAGCAATTTTTAGAGGTGTTGAGTAACATAGTTCAAGAAGCGGTTCAGATAAATCGATTCTTTGTAATTCCTTAGATCTTGAGTTTGGAATTATCTTATAGTTTTCAGTCTGCGAATTTATTTTTTCTTGAACCATGTTGTTTATGTCTAAAACATGAATCCTGAATTCTACTTTTAGTCACCATCCATTTGTGCTTATAATGTCGTGTACGAGTGATTGTTGCATTCGTTAAATGTTTGTATATTGGTAAAAAACCAGATTGTTTGGTTTAATCATGAGTTGATACGTTGTGTTTTTAATCATAAGTTTTGTTTTGTTGTGTGAGGTTAGTGTAGTTGTTGATTTGTACAAAATTTATTTACTGACTCATCATCCACGTACAGACTTGTGTACTGGACCTAGAACCACACTCTAAATGTAAAGGCTAACGATACTACTTACTTGCTTTTAAAACGGAATGAGTTGGACCGGGGTTCAAACGTCCAACTTAGGAACTCATTGTTGAATGCCTTAATCACTGAACCATTAATCAGTGGAGGTTAATTTAATTTGAAGGTGATATTCGTTATTTTATTATTTTTTTGGATACACAATTTAATATTTCTATTTATAGGCAATGCGAAAAAATTCTGAAAATGCTAATTGTACAAATTTTCTTGTGGATGGTTTTCCACGTAATGATGAAAATCGTTTGTGTTGGGAAAAAGATTTAGGCCCTCATACGATATTAAAAAATGTCATTGTTTTAGATTGTCCAGACGATGTAAGTTTTGATTTATTACTTTATCATTAATCAGACTAACTATTATAGTTACTGTAGGGTTTTGTAGAGATTGTTGAATTTTTAGTTGGATTACCACTAAAAATAAGGAGGCGTTCAACAGTTACTTTCTCCTATTGTGTAACCCCTCGACAGAGCGTACTCACGAGCTCAGGACCTTTAGTTATCTCGGTGGCACCTAACCTATAGACGACTCAGTCAACATCCAGTGGTTTTAAATAACAATAAAAATTGTAATATCCCAATGAGTGAAAAATTAGATTTTCTGGCGTTTCGTAACTCAATGTAAGCGACTTCTTCAGAGAATAAATAACGAATTTCGTCTTACTACCTGCTCCGATTCAAATCAAAATTTTGAATATTCACATTTTAAGATAAAGTGGGGAATTTCATTCCTTTTGAACTTGAGTAAAAAGTACTTGATGATAAAAGATGAGCAATGTACTGTCTATGATAGCGATCAAGGAATCTGTCAAGATGAGTAGTAGATATGAATTATCTACCTTAGTTGATTGTTAAATATTAGAAGTATAATTGGCCAATGAAACTGGGGAATGAAAAGTATGGATTGAAGCAAAGCTCTTTAGCCCAAAAGAAAGGTAAGGAATAATCCAAATAGATCGATTTTGGATCATGTTACTCAACGTTTCTAAGCACAGATTACAATTATCTAGGAATCCCTAAGTGATATTTCGTAATTACCCACTTGGTTTAGTCAAATTATTAAAAACTTCTTAGTCTGTTGCATTGTCTTCGCTTGAACAATTACAACACTTTTCCAACCTATTCCTATATCACCCAATTCAAAATGATACAATTATGATTAACTTGATTTGCGAAATTCAGAAGGCACCAATAATCTAGTATTTTTTAGAATTTCGACTATTATTACATGAGTGAAACTAGTTTATATATATATATATATATATATATATATATATATATATATATATATGCAAAATGTAATATTTAATTAACTAATTTGTTTCTTCAGGTATGTATCCAACGTTGCCTTGGACGAAAGTCAAATCGAGTGGACGATAATGAAGAAACATTAAAGCATCGGTAATTCTCTCATGATAGGCATATTCTGTTATGATGTTACGTGGTTTCAGGTAGCCGACTGTAAAACTTACTGGAAGTGACTCAAGGAAAAACTGCCTAAGTCCCTTTACATACAACCGTTTTGTGAGTTGTTCATGATTTGTGTTAACTGAATAATTCATTAACCCTTATCATTGGCGACGAGAATCCATAGGGCAAAGTGATGTACGCCATTTTCAAGGCTTAGTTTTCTAACCTCTTTCCGTTGTTGTAAGACGAAATTGCTGCAAATGCTGATTGCTTGTGGGAAAAATCTTGAGGCCGTCTCAATCCAGTATAGTATGATTTACCCTTGAACCATAGTTTCTTCCAACTAAACGACTTTTTCATTCCTTACTAGTCGTTCCATGGATGTTAATAAATTATAACTTAATGTGTTTTTTTATTCCAATGATTGATGAACATTCCAGTATAAAACAATTCAAAGAACAATGTATGCCGATCATTCAATTCTATGAAGCACAGAATTTGGTGACCAGAATTAATGCAAATAAGTCTATACCTGAGGTAATATTTTATCATACGATTTTCTGACTATTTTGTGTTAACAAATTAGTGAATGTGTAGTTATAGTAAGCGTTCAATCATATTATTTTGTTGTACATATTGAAGCACAAATATTCTGTTACTTCGAGTATTCTAAACCGAGTCAAATCACATATTCTCCGAGATTAGCGTCAAGTTTAATATATGGTCGACTACACGCAATCATTTGGTGGGAGACAAATTTCGGAAATTTTGTATTCTAGTCTGTTAATCTCATTGTAATTGTCAAATTTATCGACAGATCCCATCCTCAGAATATTTCTTATGGTAAGTGAACAGAGGTAACTGGCCGAACCGTTTCATATAATAGTGCAACCCTCTACCATAATGGCCCGAGTATTCATCCAACCTGGATAGATTATCCAAACAACTACATCCGACCTTATTTATTTTCCGTACAAACTACACACATACAATTCCAACGACACTACTTCATATTACAAATTACATATTTTTCATACCCACCATCACACATACAAATAGACATAGTTGTCTCATACAAAATGAACTTGACCACAACTAACGTGACATTAACATGTTCAGACCTATTATGATCACAATTGATTGATCACTGGGTGGTGATCAATGTCATGTGTGCCAATTTCTTCTTAGTGCAGATCGAATGCTATCGACTAAGTTGTATGTGGCCACCAGTCTAGTTGACTCGACACTGCATGCGCTATGTTCAGACTAGATGGTTGGAGGTAGTCGACAGGAAACCCTGGACCCGGGGTTTCATGCTACTTGGCACTCGTCAGCGAGGTGTACCTGTAATCTTGAGGGAACCGGTGCTCCTGACGGATTCGATCTCGTGTCACCCAGCTTCACAGTCAGAGACGTTACCACTGAGCTATCCGGGCTGCGACCGACCTCCTGTAGGACTGAGATGTAGTCACAATTGATCATGTCACGAAACATAAGGGATGCAATTTTATACTTATTGGGATATCACAAAATACATAATTATTCGATTATATAAATTATGAGTTTAGGGGTTGTGGAGATTGTGAAGTTTTTGATTGAGATCATGAATCGATTGATGTTAGACCACCTTTGAAAACTTGGAAGCACTGGACGGCCGTTTCGTCCTTTTGTGGGACTCCTCAGCAGTGCGCATCCACGATCCCGCTCGCGGGATTCGAACTCAGGCTTTCAGTCTCGCGCGCGAACGATTAACCTACTGGACCACTGAGCTGGCATCCAATGTTGTTAATGTCTAATACCAACCAATCCACGAATTATAGTAATGTATTTAGTTGTGAAGTCTAAATATCCAGTGAGTGTACTTTATAGACCTCTGCTACGACGGAAAATTGATAACGTAACTGAGCTTTAGTGTACAAATGCTAGGTAAATCGATCGACGAGTTCGTGTCTTTATCGGTTGAGGTGATTGGAACATGTAACCAAAAATCCCTGGTGTAGACTACCTGGTTAGGCACACTCAGTGGCTGTAGATATTAGTCAACATGATTCAAAATCGGCTGAAATGGCTCGGACCTATCCACTCTTTATCCCTCCTAAATATTAAGCTTTTAATTCTTCAAATCCATTCCTTTTCGAACTGCATTCTATAATGTTTAATCATTCTCACTATTATTGATACTGCTACTTGTTTATTATTCGTCCTGTTAACTTTTTTTTGTGCTGATGTGTGGTACAGTGAGTTGACCTAATACATTTATATCAAGATCTGTGTTGGTCACGATTAACTGGAATTTCCTGTCCACCCATAATTAACTGGTGAAATTTACGAATAATGCAGAAGCGGAAAGATTTCCGTATAACATCGTGTACTTCAAACATTCGATTACTAAAATTTATTTAAATAATTTTATGATTTCAATTAAGCTTAAAACCTAAATCTCTTTGAGAAACTCTAATCAACTCAATTATTATTATGGGTATAAAAAATAGTTGGAATGAACACGTCAGCATGTTTTATTCATAAATTGAGAGTGAAGTACGCTTCAGTTATTTAATCAAATGAATCGTGTTACGATTATGGTTAAATTGATAACATTCGACAAGATTAATCAATCAGAATCCGGATGGTAATTTTGTACCTTAAGTAATACTTATTTCGTACATGAACTATTAAAAGGTAAGCGTGGTCAAAGATAATAATAGAGTACACAATGTGAAAACCATGCTGGATATTTTATTTATTTAAACACAAACATTGGTACAAGAAGGCACCGAATAGATATGCGCCACATAAGTCATTCAATTGTGTGTGAGCTGCGATACTGCCCGGGTGCCCAAACTAAAGCAGGTGGTTATCTTAAGAGGCCACACACGGAGTCTCCGGCCTAAAGATTTGATCCACAAGGTAGTAGAGCAACTTCAGGAAATGCAGTCCCATGGTAGCCGGTGACCAACAATGGGTTCATACGCCATTTGTTCCTTCAGGATACTGGGGCCCATGTGCACCATTGGTTTGGAATCAGGGTTTCCCAACTCCCCTAGATGGACTCTACGTATCCACCGACCCGGGCAAAGCGCCGGACATCCGCTTTTCGTCCTCTCAATTTCGTAAACACCCTCGCCGCGAGAAGGTAGTGATTGTATGCACGCTGGATTAGAATAACCCCCTTATTAAACCACCTTTATATTGGATTAAACTGGAAACTAAGATATTGTCCTGTCCTTGTTGGCTTTCTATATACGGAACGTTTGATGGATATTATTAATAATAGTTATTATATTATTGGTGCAACAGTATTCTCAGCACAAAGTAATTCTTGATCAACCCTGACGATAAATACTGAGTGACCACCAATTAGATGTTAGCAGTTCAGGAATCGACATCTGAATATTGTACATTATTTTCGTTGCATATTGCCAGCGACCACGATGTCTCTGATTGGTTTTTTTTGTAACCTGCAGAGCGAAAAGTTGCGAAATTTTCATAAACGCACAAAAACATAACTTTTTGAAATATTTAGATGTCAAGAACAGGTAGCCCAGAAGTTCTAGCAGGTCTTATACACATAACTACACCATAAGTCATAGAAGAACTAAGCGACCGGTTTTGTTTTTCGCCGAACATGTTTTTTCAATAATATAGAATATAATGTTTCTTTGTATTTCAACAAATATTGTTACGAATATAGAACGTCTTTACAAAATGTTTCTTTTTCACAGGTATATGAACAGGTTCGAGAAATGATGAAAACCTTGAATATCATCAGTTGCAAATGAAGAACAGAAAAACCCTTAATTCAACTTCCGTATTTGTATTTTACAAAAATAATACTAGTTGTATTTGCTATGACTTATTTCTCTTTCTCCTTTATTAATAAAAAAGACAATGCTGTTGCATAATGATCATTATTTTATAGTTGATTCGATATAAACAAACACACCATGCACTGATTGTTTCTTATTATCGACTCCTAGAAAATCATATAAGTCAAGATTATTTTTCATTGGGAAGAAAATTATTTAAGTAGCAGAACTATGCGAAAATGAAGTATCGGTGTAAAATTAAAATTATTAATTTCAAATATTTCTATTTGAATACAAAGAAATGATCCAACTTTGTCAGTTATAACAGAATCTATTTTTTTTGTTTTGCAGAAAGAGATGCGATTTTCTTGGCTTTATATTCTTTGATAATCATGTCATAACGTGTAATAATAATAATAATAAAATATATTGCCCAATGAGTGTTATTTCACACACAATTGATTTCGAAATTGTACAGCTTTGTAGATGTTCTATTTTGTAATCCATAAGCTTACGATTATTTCAAATTATGAAGGATATTTAATATGAACGGAAGCGACGTGTTCTAGAGAGCTCGTCGACTTATCTTCACAAGAGTAATCTCCTTAAACGACTGAGAGAAGGTAAGAATTCGAGAGGAATCTGATATGTTCCAAACAGTTAATATTGTAATACAATTTTATATTGGCAACAACCATGACTGTTAAACCACAAAAATGATAGTAACCAATCGAATGATAATAAAAGATTGGTGGTGTTATATCAATAAAGGAAAAGTTCCTGAAGAAACTAAATTCTGCGAGGCATTCCTAGTTATTATGCACATTACAAAAAACATAATGAATTTCAGCTCTAAAAGATATTTAACTCATCAAATTTCTTTTTGTACATAATTGTAGATAATGGATACACGATAGGAAAACATGTTCTGATTATATGTTAATAAATATCGCACCTCGGACCACACTCGTTTAGCTACTGATAAATCTGCACTAATATAAATCCATCCGTGTAATTACATGTAGGATTGTAAAATATTTGATTGCAGTGTCGTAGTTTGCATGCTAATAAATTTTTAAAGGTACCATCACTTCCGATCGCATAATTGTCTCTGAAGTGGATATTATTTAAAAACTTCTGACCCCATATCGCAAATAAAAGAGAGTTGTAGTCTACTGGACAGATGTGTATGAACAATGAACTCAAATACGTATATGTACAATAGACTGATCCATCTATTTCAAAACAATAATGACATGGCATTAGTAATTGAATGATGAACTCAAAAACTAGTGTTTTCCACAACTTTTCAGTGGCGGCTAGGAATCAAAATACAGTAAGGCAAATGTTTACATTACAGAAGACTAGCAACTTTCGTAGTTTGTCCATGAAGCACATACACTAATTAAGATATAGGATGAAAATACTGAAATTTGGCAAATTACCAACAGCCAAAATTATTTGTTATAACTGATAAAGATACAAGGCTGTCCTATGATTAGAATGATCATTTAAAATGCATTTACCAAAACAATTTCATATTCGCACCAATTAAATAACATCCAAACAATTTCACATAAAAAGTACAGGCGATCAAATATGTTTTTCGGGTTCCCATAATATCCCTACAGTCAGCCGACTAATGAAGTGTTCTCGCACCAAATCCTATCGAAAATGAATAGGCTGACGGAGAATTTGTTGTCATTCTGTATTGACTAAAAAGAACATTCAATGTAAATGGTAGGCTTCAACTTCCTTATGAAGCAATACTGTTGCGACCTTCAGTCCTCTACATGTTGACATAATCAAATCATAAAACAAAGAGTTCATTGGCTACGAATCTACCTTACATCTATCTAACCAAATAATTGACGATAAGCAAGGACCGCGAAAGTGTATACCTAATAGCCAGTCAGAAGACGAACACACCAAACCAACATTTTAATACTGAGTCAAACTTGTAGGATTAAAAGCTTTGAGAACATGGCAAAATTCCACGAGAGAAATCACAATTTATACACAACTAAATCCTGAGTGATACAAAATAGAGCGATAATTTAGTTGACAATTTAACGACAGTCACAAAACAGTAAAAACACATCGACTATCGATATACTAAATAAAAGCTTAAAATATCAAAATACTATAAACAATGAGACTACGCAGTAAAAACAGAGATAAGCAATTTAGACTACAATATCATACTGTAACAAGACGACAGTTCATTCGGTGTTTCTGTAAATAAGCTATTCATTAATTTCTCTACTCACATCATAATTTATTAACATATATTTTAATCATGTATTCCCAGTTAATTGTATATTACTACTCATTAGAACGAATACCTCACAGTGACCAATAACAAACAACAAAAGCAGTTGATTACTTCTATCTACTCAAATAAGTAATGATCAAATGATTTGAGTTATAAAAGAAAAAAAATTACTGCAGGAAAGACTTTCTAATATAATAATTTCGTAATTGGTTAGCATCCAGTTCAAGATTATTATATGAGTAATTACTATAAGTTATCAAACACACTTCAGAGTTTGTGGAGATTTTTTTCGAAAAATATTCCGAAACGATTATCTCCCACGTATAAAGAATACATGATATTTTGTAAATATGGATTAAAACTTTAATATTATCTAAAATAAAAGAATGCAGTATGTAGCTTCATTTCATCTAGAAACGAAGATTAATTACATAAATCTGTTTACGCACAAAGCTTTGAATTCACTACATTGTAACAATCTTGATTTTTTGATAGAGGTCAAGAAATCCACCCTTATACTTAAATAATTTCATCTGAACATGATGACTCGCATTGTTTTGTTTTTTCATTAAATGAAACTTTCCAGTCTTAAAACAATTTCAACGCAAGCATTGGTAATTTCCATACTTTTTCTTTTTTGAAAAAATTCTCTAATAGTGTGAAATACGAATCCCATGAAAAAAAACAAATATTTAAGAATGATCCTTTCTCCAAGAAACACCACTCGAATGTATAACACAAAGTGATAAGGGTAGTTATGTGGTTATCAAACGAAATTGGCACTCATAAAAGTAATTTGCTCACAGTCGATTGTGTTTCACAATTATATTATTGAAATGTGGGCGATCCTGATGTGACTCAAGGTTATTTCTTTTTAATATATTTTTCAAGATAGTCATTCCTTAGGTGACTTCCAATTTTGAAGTAAACAAAAGCTTTATACAAAAACGGCTTATAAGAAGCATTACCATAACTTCTTAAAAAGCAAGTAGAATGATCTCTAAGATCTTATCATATCCTAATGATGAATAACATAATGCACAGCTGAAATAAAAGCATGACAGGTTCAGAAGTAAACGGTATATTGGAAGCCGTGGCAACCAGAATAAAAGTAAATCCAAACAGCAGAAAAACAAACGGATTCAATCCCGTTACGTTTTGTGAACTTCATGTCAATCAATCGGTTGTATATACACTATATGAATTGAGCATTAATTACGAATGTAATGAACTGACAGCCTTTTGGTATGAAATTCGGTGCTTTTCTGAATAATTGTGACTGTTACTTCGAAAATTTTACAACTTTGATCCTCTTAAACCTAAATGTTTCTAATAACAGATCTGATTATCATTCTAAGTTTTAGCGTTGAGAATGTTATCACCACATAATTTTCTATACAGTGTTAATTGCTTCCTATCACAAACTGAGAGCTTCTTCCGGTCAGTTCACACACACATACACACAGAGGTCGGTAGGTAGTATGAAATCTGAGAAAGAGAACTTTCCAACAATAAAGAACGTTAACAGAAATAATGAAGTAGGTTTATGTATAAAAATAATTTTTCAAAATTAAATCTAAAAATATCCAAATTAGAAAAATAGAGTAAAAAAGATACTCATATAATTGGCAGTTTAGAAAAAAAGGAATACCTGAAACGATAAAATTGCAATACACATGAACAGTAACTTGCTTCGATACATAAACGCCACACTATTCATGTGTACGAGGGTGAAAGCACTGCTGTTGGTAATGAATAAATGAGATGACTTAGATTTGCACATATCAATATCTGTGTTAATAATTCGTGATATTATTATGCATTTTTAAAATGTATATCGTTTTGACAAATATATACATTAATAATATGTGAATAGTAAAATTCTCACTGTTTTCTCATTAGATTAGATACCTTGTCTATCTGAATACAGACAGAAAGATATATGTATACATGTTCAAGTGATTCTTTTGATAGATAATAAATGCAACTGATCGCTAACTTCATTCACATCACGATCATCATTATATATAGCAATAATAATAATAATGAATAATATCAACAATAATGTCACCTATATGAAATCAAACCGACATAATATTCAATGTATTGAGTATCTAAATCAAAAGGATTGATAACACCTTGAGACTAATCATAGCAAAGAATGAGAAAACTTAACTAGTCTTTCTTTTAGTTCAAAATAATGTATAGCTAGTTTATTTTGTAAAGATAATTTTTTTAATTATTAATACGCGCACTACTTAAAAATTGACAGGAGCATATATTAAGTACATTCAATTTCTTTTATATATGTATATATAGAGTGCAAACGCAGAAGGGAAACACAAGTGGGGTTTAATTGATTATCAGTGTTACTCGATTTATCATTTAAGAAACAGTAGTTCGTTTATAAAAAAAGATTGAACGAGAATACATTTATCTATGAACGTGAAGAAAGAAACATAAACCCAACAAATTAGGAACAAACACAAGCGAGCCACCTATCGGAAATCAAGACAAACATCATCAGCAAATCAAACAATCAAGAATAATTTTTATTTGAATACACACACACACACAAACCACTCCATATAGGAAGAAACAAACACGATAAAAATAACATCCAACACACAAAAGAAAGAGACAGGTAAGAGATTTTGAACAAATAAATGGATAGGAAAGGGATTTCATGAAGACGAGCCATCAATAACATTAGGATGATTAGATGTGAAAGACTTTATACATGGGGATTTCATGGAGGAATCAACAGTTAACTGACTATTAAATTTAGAAAGTTTTAAAAGTTTACTAGAAATAGATTCATCTAATGGTGATGCTGTTGTTGATGAAATGGATTTTATTTGAGTAACTTGAGCAGTATGCTCACGGTTTGAATGAAACGTCCGTTGTGGACCGCGTACAGGGATTACAGGACGCGATTTAGTCCGATCACTGGCGGAAGTAGATACTGTATTCCTAGACAATGGAGCAGGTAAAAATGATAAAGAGTCTAAATGACTTGTGCATTTTTCATTTGATGAATCTCCACAACTACCTGAGACACGTCTACGTTTCGATTTACCGACATTTTCGTCATCAGAAATATTATTTTCAGGTTTGGGGAGAACTCGGGCATAAATACATGACTTTTTATCGTATTTAGTTTCTGTCACCTGAGAATTGACGTCGCTATCGACTGGTATATCAGTATAGGATTTGGGAGATTCCGAAGACTGTCGGCTAATTTCAATACCTGGATCCAAAATAAGCTCCTCATCGTATAGACTATCGTTCAGAGAATTTTGCAGTCGTCCAGGAGACACACAAGTAACGTCTTCTAACTTTGTTTCCTCATGTAACAACACGTTCTTAGAATCAGTATCGCCATCGGAATTCATCATCCCAGCACAAATCACTGGTTCCAGTTTTTGTAGTTCGGAAGCCAAGAGTTCTGCAGTGCTTTGGGTTAGTTGTAGTCTTTGTTGCAGCATCATTAAAGAACTACCAAGCATTTCAGTTTCAGTCTCAGCCTCCTCCACTAAATACTCCATATCTTCAACAACGAAAAACAAAGCATTTATTGAGTACTCAATTAGCAGATGCAAACGAATTAAGAACAATTATTAAAAGAATAAAAAGCAATAAGAAACTGTTAAACATGGTATCAAATAGACTCATTACTTACAAGAATTAAGTAAGAACAAAAAACTATCTTTACATAGAGTTTACAAGTTAAAAGTATGAAAAAAATCAAGCTGGTCTTGTCAGATAAGTCCTCAACAGAAAGAAGTAACTAAAAAGTTATAGTGCGCAAACAAATATTAAAAAAGTCTCAGTAGATGTCCCTTTCCTCATGACCACGGTACAACAATCTAGGACGAATGTTACAAATGGGACAGAGCTTTAAAATACTTTTCACAGTTATCTTGGTAAGTTGAAACGCCTTCCTTAGAGCAGCATGACAAAATTGTAGCTAATATACTTTCTTAGAAAAGAAATACATGTCAACTGTTCGTCGAGCTTACAGATTTGGAACAGAAAACTCTGATTGTATTGCCATAAAAAAACGTTGAACTGTGAGTGACATAATGAATTACGAACTGATTTGAAATTCTTATCATTTATTTTACGATATTATTTATTTGGACGATCAGATGTGTTAAATTATTTGTTTTAGGAAGAGAAGCAGGTGAACCACTAGTTTGTATATCTTCACCAAGAACCACACACTAAAATTTTAAAGTCCATTAAATAAGTGAAAAGTGAATTCTCCATGAAGATAAAATTTCAATGAAAAGATTTCTAAAGAAAGTTAGCTAACATAAAGATTATAGACGAAAATCAGAATGCTTTCAGGGAATATCATTGATTTACAAGATTAAAAATGGAAAAACTACGATTACGTATGCAAAAGTAGAAACTACTGGTTTTATATTGTATTTTGAAAATAATCCAATCATAGATCTGTCTGTCAGATACTAATATAACGAAAAATGTTCAATAATTCCAATGACATACAGTATTTGGGAAATAACACCGTCTAGCTATAAGACTTAAATTTGTTTAGCACTGAATGAGTAAGGATTACTATTTTATACTTTCAAATGACATGTACATTTCCGACCTTAGTTCCATGAAAATCAGATCACTACTGAATAGCACTTGAACTTATAATAATCAGCAGTTTATATATATGAATAGGCCGGTTTATTCAATATTATATTTGGGTACAATATAGAATTCTCAGCACAGGGTCTTTCAACAAGTTACTTACGCAACAACAACAAAAAAAACACAATAACAAATACAAAAAAAATAAAAAGGTTTTTAAAAAAAACGAAAAACTGTACAACTTTTAAAATTAAAGACATGATAAAAATGCAGGTTATTGACTAGGTTAACTCTAACAACCTGTTCGTCACAGAGTATATTTGCTAAGTAAGGTATTATAAAACTTTTATACTTTTGCTTGCGTGCATGGATTTTAATGTAATTACGTCTCGTTCTACCAGAAGATATACAAGGAGAAAGATAAGAGTGAAGGGGATGGCTAGTATCTGATAAAATAACACCTGTCGGGAGTTTGCATGATTTTAGATGTCTGTTCACAACCACATTAATTATGACCTCGAAAGATTCACCACACATCTTGCTAACTGCCTTCAGCACTCTTCGCAATACAGCAAAGTCTTTTCTCAAAAGCCCGGGAAGGAATAATGGAGAACATTAAAAAATAATAGGTAATATGCAAGAATTGACAAATTGTAAGAGTAAATGACGAGTAATCCCAAGAGTATGCAATCTCTTTATGTAGTAGGTCAGACGGAAAACCTTCTTTGATAACAATAAAACGTGAGAAGACCAAGACAGATCAGAGGAAAAGGTGACACCAAGATAATTAATCTTCGACACTGTGTTTATCAACGAGTCTCCAATGGCACAAGCATTATGGGATTTCAAAATGGTGGTTAGATGCCGTTCATGTCTCATGCTAAAGCTTGACATTTAGACGGAATAAATATGAGACCATTATCAACAGACCAACAATCGATACGAGACAAAAACTCATTCATTTCTATGGAATGTAAGGAGGAAGAGATAGGCATACATACAGTGAGATCATCCGCATATTTTACAAAAGTGTTTTCTGTGCAAGATGGCAGATCATGCAGAAAAAGACAAAACAAGAGGTGAAAGAACAGCTCCTTGTGGTACACCTTCATGAGACAGTAGAGACTCTGAACACTTTCCTCCAAACACAGTGTACTGTTCCCTTCCGGAGAGGTAGGAACACAGCCAGTTGGTTATCCAGCTGTCAGTGTTGACGCTGATTAACTTGTTAAGTAAACGTTGTCTTGGTATAGAATCAAAAGCTGAAGTATAGTCCAGAAAAGCACATCGAACATACTTTTCACCGTTTTCTAAGTTGAACACTGTTGTGATGCAGAACAGCAACAGCATATAAAGTGCTTCTTTTGCGTCTGTAAGCAAACTGATATGGATCAATATGCTCTTTTATCGCAGGCTGAAGTGGAAGTATTGATAATTTTTCCATTGTTTTGAGGAAGGGTGAAGTTATTGCAATAGGTCTAAATTTTACATTCTTAACACCAGATGCTTTCTTGGGTACAGGAATTATCTTCATCTTTCTCCACATTTTCGGTATGAGATTAGATGAGAAGGATCTGTTAAAGATAGCCGTGAACGGATAACATGGGACGTCACCACACTTTATAAAAAGGACGTTTGGGATACCATCAGGTCCCAAACATCGAGATGAATTAAGTGACTGGAGACATCTTCGTACATCAGTTTCAGTGAAAGTAGGAACACAGCTATTATTTAAACCCGTGGATAGAGGGAGCATCACATCAGATGACTGACGTACAAAAGACTTATTTAAGTCAAACATTCAGCTGGTTATCGCTTCTAAACTGTCTGTCACCTGTAAGTTCTTTAAAGAGTTTCCACATACTTGGAGAGTTTTTGCAAGACAAGAGTTTTTGAGTAAACATAGAATTGAGACGTCTAATCTCTAGGTTTATCAGACCATTTAGCTTACGAACCTCATTAGAGTTCTTCTCCTTGTACATTCTTTCTTTCATCTCCTTTAATCGTTTTAGTTGTGAAAATGTAAGTTGATCAAAACTTACAAAAATGGTTTCAGTGGGACAACAAATATCAAAACAGAATTTAAGGTAACAAGTTATAACATCAGTAGTGTTTTCCAGTGAGTCATCTGTAAATAATTCCCAGTTAGTCGTATGAAACATGTTTTTCAGATTTCGGATATTTTCTTCTGAGTAATTCCCATATTTGACTTTCTTGGTTTGATGTGACAGTGTACTCTTCCCATGCTTTCCATATAATCTAGGTAGAACACGAATTATACAGTGATCCAAGCTAGACAATGGAGCACGTTTACGAGTCGCATATATACCCACATCATTAATGAAGACGAAATCTAAATGAGCATCCAAACGGGTAGGAAAATCTACTACATTTTGGTGACCAAGTGACTTAAGGAAGCTATAGTCAAATGAATTGAAATCACCACGTACAACTGAAAGTGAATCACTGAAGGCAGTAACAGCGAACTCAGTGAATTCATCAGCGAAAACAGATAGTGCAGATGATGTGCAATCTGGAGTAACGTAGATACTGGTAACATAAACATATTTGTATTTATTCAGATGTTTTGGATGACATCTTAGAGTTAGACAATCATTTGAAAACTTAAAACACACAAACGAAGATCGACACCAGTTTGTGTTTACAAACGTAGCTACACCGCCACCACACCTCTTTTTATTGTTTGATCGATCCTGACGATAAATTTTGAAGTCACGTAGTGATACTAGGCAGTCATTCTGTAAATCATTTAACCACGATTCTTGAATTGTGATGACACCACAATTACGATACATATTTTGACTTAGTAGGAATTGCAGATAGTCCACTTCGTTGATTCGTGATCGGCAGTTAGAATTTAGCAGCTTGGGGATCGACATACGAATAATGTTCATTCTCTTTAACGCATATTGCCAACCACCACGACGTCTTTTATAGTACTTTTTTGTAACTTGTGCAGCGAAAGGTCGTAGGCTTTTCATAAAAGCGCCTGAATAGGTTATGCGATTAATGGACATAATTATAAGTTAAAACAAATGAAAAAAACAGATAACTTGTTGAAATAATCAGATGGCAGAAACAGGTAGCCCAGATATTCAAGCAGGCCGCTTTATTTTACTAGGTCGATATAAAACACTAACTTTGACCTATACATTGAATATTATGGAGTTGTAGCTTAGTGATAAAACCATTAGAACTTCGTAAGTTGGGAGTTTTAACCGAGCTACACTTAATTTCGTTTGGGAAGCTGAATAGTAGATAGTCCCATTGGCGTTCATACAAATAATCTGGAAGGAAGCCGATTATATGAATATATATGTGACAGGCAATAGTTAACTGAACTGATAGCTTACTAATCTACATTAAATTGGTGGCCAAATTACTTTAATTTTACACTGAATTCATATATAAAATAAAACATCAGGTAAATTGCTAAACCAAAGCTTGCATTTTTCAAATGCGAAAACATATATTATGCAATTTTTCAGATTAGATGTTTTGATATGGTGTGTGTTAATTACACAGTCACTGTCAAACTAGCAATTATCCGGTGAATCACGATAAGCCAGTTAGTTCACAAATGGATAATACTAATAGAAATATAAAAACACATGATTTTGATACTGAGCAATTTGTCATTAAGTAAGCAGTTTTCAAGGTTCCGCGATATTTAACAATTTACAGCAAAAGCAACACTGAATTAGGTTACTATAGTAGACAATGAAACGAGGTGTAAATTGAGTACGTGAGTATGAACTAATGAGTTATGATAACGAAGTAATATTTACTGATTTTTCACTAGTTTGTGATAGTGAAATGAAATACTTTTGAACCGGACGATTCTTCATTGAAACTGAAGAGCGACAATGTGACAAGTTGAGAGTTAATCTTATTATCGATGATATCAAGAAAACGAGAATGGTTATTGTGATGAATACACATAAGTACTGTTCCATGAAGCGCTTTTTACATACTCAATGAATTTATTGTGATTGGGACAAGTAAGTAAATGGAACAATTTGTCTACATATCTTTATTATTGGTCACACACCGTGACTAAAACTTAAGTTCCCCCCTCCCACACATATATACATACACTTACCTGAATGAGCATTTTTCAAGTCATTTACGAATGCACGTCGTAAAGAAATTTCCGATTCTAACCGAGCAGTTCGACCAGTACGATTGACATTTGCTAGTTCTTCATTTTCATGTTCAAGAACACGAATACGCATCATCATTCTTTTTCCATTTTGACTATAAGTTGAATAAGCGAGAATAAGACGACGAAATGTATTTTTGCAAAGTTAATACCTATAGGATTACCATTCATTATTAGAATTAAAAAAAGATGCACTGAATAATTATAGGTACTTGCTAACAGTCTACTTATGAACTAAAGGTTTTTAATGATTTGTTACCGCTATAGATGAAACAAACGGTTTTTGATAGACATCATCGACAAAGAGCCTGGCACAAATGTGAATTAGTTAGGCCAAGTTTTCATGCATGACTAGCATGAGATGAAAATAACAAAAAAGGTGGAAATAGTGTGGCACCATGGATAAAATGAATGACTAAATAGTAGGTATGTGGTTCGAAAAGACAGAGTAGAATGTTTTGTACGTAGTAATGCTGGAGCTCAAGATCGAGAGGAAGATAAAGACTGAATGTCAAGCGAAGTCATCATATTCTATTATTTGCGGTACATGCCCCCAAATGCCCAGGTACGACCGAAGGTTGGGAGTCAGCTCTCCTTCTCGAAATGCTCTCACATGGCCACGCGTATACAGCCAGTGCAAAAGAAGTCCTACAAACTGCCTTCTCGCGGCCCGGGTGTTGTTTACGAAATTGAGAGGACGAAAAACGAATGTCCGGCGGTCTAACCGGGTTGGTGAACACGGAAGCTTCACCTAGAGGAGATAGAAAACCCTGATTTCAAAATAACGGTGTACATGGGCTCCAGTATCATGAAGGAAGAAACAGTATTAACCTCTTGTTGGTCACCAGCTACCATGGGACTGGATCTCCTGATGTTGCTCCACTGCCTTGTGGATCAGATATTTAGGTCGAAAGCTCCGCCTGTGTCCTCCTAAGAAAACCACCTCCTTTAGCCTGGGCACCCGGGCAGTATCACAGCCCATACACAAATCAAGTGACTTGTGTGGCGCATATGTGTTCAGTGCCTCTTCTTACCAATATTTACGTGTTCAAATAAATAAGAAATGCAAGTGCAATACAAATGATATCAAGGCAGCAGAAATTTTGATGTTAAAGAATTGTTAGCATGTCGCAAATCACAAACTAATAACTAATTTCTAGATAAAAAACTACGAAATAACTAATAAGTTGTTATGAACGGGGAATTAAGAAGCCCAGACAACTACGAAAGCTATTTTCTTGGGACGTTATTGCATTTCATTCAAAACCTGTAAAACACTTATATTTATTTTTGTCCCTATCTTATTCTACATAACACGAGCTTTCGTTCTATGTATCATTCACTAGCATACCACATCGTACCATAAAATAGAAAACAACATTTTGTACAATATTCAACAAGTGAACAGATATCGACCAATAGGAAATATCCATTTAAAGTCCAAGGACACCACTGGACTTAACATGATAATTATTGGTCTATTCCTCTGCATCCACAACATAAGTATCCATAAATTATAAGAAGTTCATAATATTCAGATAAAACAAAAGTTTCTGTATCAGCAAAGTAGCATCCGATTACGCACGAAAATAGATTACTAATATACAGAAGCATTTCAATAACACTCGAGTAACAAAATTCGGAAGCAACATAGATGAACAGTCTATGTAAATCCCGTTGATCAAAGGGGAACAAAATGAATAGAGGTAAGTTAAATGAAAAACCTAACCAAGTCATTATGCTGACACATTAAGTGAAGCACGAATGCCAAAATATCAGCAGTTGTGTAGCTTTACACACTTTAATACTACTAAGTAAGTAACAAAGTACGCTACCGTAATTTTCGTAAGACTTTGGACAAGGGGTTTTAAATCTTATGTATCAGCCTAAACTAATAACATGCTTTTCACCGCTTAAACCTACCTGTTTTGAGTAAAAGTAAATGACTGCAGTTCCGATTGATTAGCTGCAACAAGTTTATCAAAATTACACTGTGTCCGGCGTAAACGAGATAGTATCAAGTTAACAGAAGAATCAATTAATACATCTGCATAATTTGGAACATCTTTAATATATGGTCCATTGTCTACAGAAGCCTTGGTGGATTGTGAATGAATTCCTGACGGTAGCATACCACGATTATGGGTAACAGATTTACCACTAGCCTGAGAAGGATTAGGATAAGGAGTAGGTAGAAGAGCCCCGCCTTTTGAACTAGTAGCACGGGCCACTGCATTTGCAGGACCCAATAAACTATCTACAGACTTGGTTAACCCACTAACCAAGGATGGAACGGGGCGAACATTGGAACTAATTGTACAGCCGCCTGAAGTGGTCTGGCTTTTGTTAGCATCAACGTCACACGCATTCGAACGAGGCACTGAAGGGAGCTAAGAAACGATATAAAACAAGGGAAAAGAAAAACAATTATCAGAAGAATTACGTTGGCTACTGGCATTCACTATGTTGAAAATCTAGTTAAATCACTAACACATCAGAAATATGGATGTGACCAAAACCAATTTATTGCTGAAATTTAACACTTTAGTACTAGTCACCTGACGAAATGTATACACGGTACTTTAAGCAGCCAAGTAGTAAGAACTTCTGATTTATTTATACCTCTGTTCAATGCCATTTCCCAACGCACAAACTTATGAGGAAATATATTGTATGGATCACTCGAAACAGGTTTATGATATATACTTCCATCCCAGCAGATATGAAAAAATATCCCCTTCAAAATGGAGGCAAAACGTTTTCATAGCCTTTGAGATGTTTCCTGGAACTTAAAATATTGACAATCGTTACCTTGATGCATTGTCTACTAGCTTTATTAGCCTGAATATACTGTACGATGGAATTTAAAATCTGTCTTTAAAGTGGCTTACAAGAAACAAATTACTATATGATCAAAAGAAAATTCCTGTTATCGAGTAACAAACACAGGCCATGTCATGTTAAAAAGGATATACAACTACAAAACGCAAAGCTATTAGAATTTTCAAAACCTCAATATTTTACAAAGCTTTACCCTTTTACAGATTATTAGCATCAGATCACTACAATGAAGCTCAAAGCAAGTAAATAATAAGCTGTATTTGATGCTTGCCAGTCGAGACCTATCGGAAAATCCTCTGACTGGTGCTCTCAACCAGTTAAAACAAATATCTTTAGGGATGTGAAGTGTTCTAGCTGAAAATTATGGCTGCCAAAATTGACGCACACCAACCAGTTGACACCTCTTCAGGTAAGATGAAAACTAACGAAGAAAGTCATTACAAAGTCACCTTTAAAATAACGTTAAACCCTAGTCACATGTTATAATCAAAATATATAGTGCACTGGATTAAATCTTGGTACAGTTAAATTTTTCTGGTTTATAAATGCGTGCACATAAATCCACATACAAATACACGAACATTTGAAATTGACGCAAATAATAGGTTCACTATAGTAGCTTTTGTCGTTTACTTGTTCCAAAGAATAATATTTTTGAGAAACTTTAACACTGAATTAACTTAATGAAACAAAACATGCTTTATGTCATTTATTTGGAAGTTCAAGTCGATACAGCATCCAAAAGGTTAAGACAACTATTGAATTAAGGACTCTTGAAAAATTAAAATTTCAGAAAGTGAGTAAACTTTATGTTAGTTAATCCAAGGATAAGTGGGATGTTGCTAACGAGACAACGTACAGAAGTTTATTTGCAGTGAAATTCTGAAAAATTTCACCTGATTATCGAAACCGCCGTGTGGTTACAGTGACGCATGCACCACACATTCCTTTAGATCTCGAGTCCAAGCATGTCTTTTCATTATCATTTCGAGCCATATTCACAAGGTTCAGCTTTTCTTATTATTATTATTGCACATGAGATTATTCCTAATAATTTGCGGTTTATTTTGTTTCGTGCTGTAGTATGTCAACCTGGACTGACTCACGGTGTCAAGCTCTGCATTATGACTGACTAACCAGTTGTCAAAAATCAGATATTTTATATCTGTTACGTGACAGACAAGCTGTTTTATTTTAGGATAACTAAGATCTATGTGATTTCAAGGTTTATTAAGAAGAGAAAGAATTTCTACATGGAGAACACAATTTTTTTAAATAAGCTATACAATTGCAATATTAGACATTTTCCTTATCAGAAGACGGATTAAAAAGAATAGTTCTAATAAACAAAATCATTAGGTTAATGAGTTATTTGGCTATAAATTTATTCACCAATGTTTCACAGTAAAATCTGTAGAAATGTGGACGCAGTAAAAAATTATTATTATTTAGCATTGAGATGCACTAGAAATTTCAATAAACATATGGCAAAAAGTCATATAGTAACAAGAAACTGATAAGTCATAACTGAATATGCCATCAAGGGGTTATTTTGTTTTCCAAACGATTCTTGAAGATCGATTACAGAAACTACATAGTAATAATAATCCTAGTTGCTAATAAATAACTGTAAGAATAGAAAAACTGCATTTGTATTTATCTCATTTATTTAATGTATAAGCAATGCTTACAAGAATTACACACATACACAAATAAAAATGTTCAATAATAGCGAACAAAAATATCAGGTTGAATGGTATTATTAAATTTAGGTTTAACAAGTAGTCAGCGTTTAACAATTTAGCGACAATTGTTAAGCATGATGCAGAAATCAAAATTATTCAAAAGCTAACTTCTGAGTCATTAGATATAGGAATAAACACAGTACAAAAAAAGGAAGTTGTGATTGAGGAAATGTGAGTGGCTTCAGAGCTTAGCACTTAAGCTCATAGAAATAATCGACAGAAAATATCTAGTCTAGAAATAGATTATAATCAATTTTTAATCAGAATACGCTGTGTTCACAAGAACTATGATTTAAAACTACATAAGCAGAATACAATATTAATTGAAAATTTTTGTAACCAGTCAAGCACTGATTTGATTCACTGGAGTACTAAATATTACAAAGAAAAACAATGAGCAAAAATATGTAAACGTTTATACAGTTAACACAGTAATTCAGCAATAACATTAATAGGTTTGAACTGGTTGTAGTTTAACGACAAACTTGGTCATTTTTTAACCATTTACTCTATTGGAAATCGAATTGTATTACACTAGGATAATTTAAGGTAATTTATCCAAAGAATTTCTTTAAATTATTTCCATATGAACAATAGTCACTGTTTCTTTAAAAGTGGACATGGGAACTTGAGTAGCCAAGAAAGTTTAATGCGATCAAGTAAAGTTGATGTAATGTAAGAAATTTGAACTCCTTAAACACTAATTGTCCCACGTATACAGCTCTATATCACTGAAGACTATTGATATTACCAAGATGTCGAGAAGCCATAGTTAATACGAATGCAGTATGTGAATAGATAACTAGCCATAGTAAAAAGTGATATCTCGTAATGGTGGTTGGATTCGTTTATGGTAGTGATATGGATTAATCACACAAACTGGTGCATATCACTTGAGGTGTTGCAATACCAGGCAGGCTGATAAGACAAGTAGTTACTAGCTCAAAATCAGTTGTATTTGGTCGAATGAATGGATTTTTATTACATCGTCATAAGGGAGTTATGAAATCTTAGTTTGGTCTTATTCCTTAGTCTTGCAATACTATTTATTTTCAATTCCTCTGATTTTTTGTCATGACGGAGAAGTGTGATAAGTCCCCATTACTCTTATTTATGACACGAACATTTTCCAACAAAATAATGAATTCATTACAAAAAGCAAAATAAAAAATGTTCTGATGAAACAGAAGAGGAAAACTCAACTGACCAAAATATACAGATTGAGTTGGAGAGTAGTCAGGAAACATTTTTATTTCATCACAATATCTTCACCAAATATACAGGAATACAGAATTGTGAAGACTGAGTTCCAAAACCTCAACTAGGAAGCCGTGATTTGTAAATAAATGTTAAAACAACATAACCGTTCCTTCACCGGGGTCATAGGCAGACCACATACACATCCAATTAGAGAATCGGGAAATAACTTGTAGTATCAAGAAACACCCAGAACAGTCAGAGCAAGTGAAGTCAGTGTTTTGATATGAGAAAATTAACAGAATGTTGTTCTTTACCATCACTACAAACAAATATTTAGAACGCAGCACTACTAAGGTAGTGGGATCATCGATGAGTGATCATTCAAAGAAAACTATTACCAAACAGCACGTCTCCGATACTCTTTAGTAGGATAAAACAGGTTTAACAACTATGTAGCTGAAGTCCTTGCATAACAAAAGCAGTGGTCGTATCTCCCACCTTTTTCTATCTGGTATTCTTGCAAAAGGTTCTTCTGAATAAAGAATCTAGTAGATATTGAGGGACAAACCTGTTGGATAAGAGGCGACCCTCATTCCAAGGAATATCATTACCGAACTGAGATACACGCAACCAAACCAAGTATTCGGTTAATCTCATAGATTTAATGGACGTATCAATTAGTAGGAACATGGATCCCATTGAACTCGTTCCGTTTCACATACACAGAATTGTCGTAATATTGTAAAAAAAAATTTTTTCAAAACTTTTGGCCAGATGACCGTTTCGTACGAAAATTTTTCTTGAAGTGATAAAACATTTTTGTTTAGTTATTCCCTTTAGATAATTCAGTTGTTCATGTGACTGTAATCTGGAACTCATATTTTCAAGATAAACAAGTTCAAGTTGTCTTTATTGTGAGTTCTGTTGAGCTTTAGAACTTATAGTTCAACGAGTCATCGATGTCTTAGGTAGGTCGCTGCATGTCAACCTTAGGTCACTACATAACTTATTCAAGTCCGTTGAGGCAGATGCCAAATGAAAGATCTAGTAATATATCCTATACAAAGTTGAAAAAAATACAGAATACCAAGGAGCACCAAACAAATAGGTACTCGAGGAGTGAAAATCCATAATCTTGCGCTAGTAGAACCCAGAACTAACAAGTAGCAAGATAAGATACCTTCAAACACAACATGCATGTACACAAGTCGAAAATCCACATGGAATGTTTTTCTGCATTGAGTTTACTGAATAAGGAATTCTGTGAAGTTCATGATACAATAATCCGTATCTCCAAAACTAAATGCACCTACAGAATTGCAAGACAAGTTTCTGTATTGTACTAGTAGCTCAGCCTTAATGATGATAACTACATTACTGTCTGCTTCGAACAGTTTGATCTTTTTATAGTTTGCCTCAAAAGTTAGTAAGTTATCATCAACGTAGAGTTTGGAGAATACGTGCACTGGATCTAGTCCCCACACCGAACCAGAGATATATGAAATAAGACGAATCCCAAAGTATTAGAAATATCAGTGACAGTAAAAGAAACCAGACAATATGATTTCAAAACTAATCTGCACAATAAAAGATATAAAGTAGTTCTGAAATCCAAGATCTAAAAGAGACTAATGAGTACACATATACATAACAATGACCGATTCTAACCATGTTACCGAACGTCTGCAACCACTGGTTACAATTTTGTGAACCCCAACAAGGTAGTTTTTACGCACCTACATGATTCAGTCCAACTGCCCACGGTTTTATGGATTGTTGTCACGTTTTGGTTTGACCGCCCTTACCTTGCTTTCGACCTACCCTCACACAATACATCGTCTTTAGGGGGAGGCGGCGGTTTGTCCTACGCAATTTACATTTAGCCACCATAGATGCGAGGATTTACAACACCATAAAATGATTTGCCCTATCTCTTCCCGGAACATCCCACACTCGATTGCTTCACGACACACAACGCTCTGGGAATATACACGATCAAAAAATTGTAGTTTACACATACCCTTAATTTTCACAGACCATGCCACACACTCACAGAGTAATACAGTAGGATGAGGCTAGGTATGTTAGCAAGTTTGTTTGAAGGTACTGAATACGCGCCAGAAGAGATGACGTGCTTTCAACTGCACAGAAGTTATTTTGCACGTTTCTCAACAATCAATACGATTTATTTCGATTATGTGAGTACCAGGAAGGAATATAGTATTCGAAGTTGCTGTACAATGCACAGTAGATCGTATTACTTAAGTTAGGTATAAGAAGAGTTTTTGGCGAGACTCTAATTTATGGGCGACCTTTGAACGAATCTTAAGTCAACTTAAGAAATATTAGCCAATCAGAAAACGGTCAGTAAAAATATGTTATACAAAACCAAGGAAATAATGAGGATACGCTTCTTATGCGTGGTTCAAAAAAATTGCCAAGGTTAGAAAGAGGTCCAGAGGTTCTAAAATCGTAATGAATGCAATAGAGGAAATCATCCATACGGCTACAGAATAGTCGGCCTCTGGAGTCATGACAGTCTCGAAAACCATTTCGAATTCCAATAATGAGGTCCGACTGAGCCAGGTAATTTGAAATGCGGGATGACTGCAATGAGAAACCGAAACCACTAAGCGCCGTCTTAATGAGGGAAAAGAGAAGAGAACTGAATGGTCATTGGAGCTAATAGGCTTAGCTAGTCACATCTGTCGTGATACACCCTGCCCAAATAGACTATCAGTGTTTAGTTGGCCTATGAACAGTGAATGAAATTGGTGCATTTCAGAAGCTAGCACATAATTCATCAAAATCCTAAATGTTTTGAGACAATAGCAATTTTTTATTTCAATTTAATTTCAATACTCGAGGTGCTCTACACCCTGTTTTGTAATATCGACAAATCGAACGGAAATAGGTATGGTAGCTATGAAACTAATTGCTTAAGACCAATTAATGATACAAACCTTTTCTACGCACGTCCTCATATCTTATCAAAAATTAACCTAACCAGTGTTAATTCAGTCCATTCTGATTAGGAAAGCTCACGCAAATCACGAGAAAAAACTTAAAGTTCAAACTAATATAATTTTGCTCACCAGAAAATGACGTAGTTCCCTCTCTTTAGACTCCAATTTCAACGGTAGTAAAGCATCCAAACGTTCAGACAGTCGAAGGATTGAACGCAACTTTTCCCCTACAAAATAAGTTTAGATATAATATGCACTGTACGTAGACTATTCTTCTCCTTCGTTTTAGCCTCGATTGCTCTTTCAAGTTCGAAAATACATTTTTGTTCATCACTAAACAATCGTAAATATGGTTTACAACTACCTTTTAGAAGACCTTTCATTGTGACCAAACTGAAATGAACTTGTACTTTCTTCGGTAAACTGTTCATCTTCACCAGGAGAAGCCATGGAGAAACGAGCACTTATTGGTGGGAAATAACATTAAACCTCTTTACGAAGGCATGTTAACGAACACCAAGAAAATGGCCGCTTGTGTGAAGGACAAAGATGTTGTTTTACTCCAGCCGAATGTTCAATATACACATAGTATTAGATGCATTGTGTACAGAAACGTTGCAAAGTTATGTACAGTGAAGCATTTCTCCTTAAATGATCATAGAAACTTGAAAGCAAAGAGACAAATTAGTACGCGATGTGTTCCTGAATATCTAATAAAATTTTTCGACTTTTAGTATTCAGTCTTCAGTAATAAGGATATGATGTCTATAGAACCATATTATTCCTTGCAGTTTTTAATACTGTGGAGGTCCAATGTCGTTTTGAATGTATCAACCGAAGGTGCTGATATTACGTGTTCCGGTAGAGAATTCCAGTAATTCACTACTCGGTGAAAGAAACGAAAATCCAGACGTAAACGATTTCATCTCGGTTTTTGAACATTCTTCTAGTGTCCTCTCAAATGATCCTATAAAAATCTAAACATTTCATCATCTAAATATTGAAAAAACCTACGAATAAACCGTAATTCACTATAGCCTTTCGCAGCACCAGCCTTACAGAGACTAGTGGTTTTGAGATCACTGCTTAATATGACCCCTTAATCTTTATAGTTTCTTACTTCGAGTAGAACGAATCCACGCAGTGTATAGTCATACGATTCATCAGAGTTATTTAACTGCATCACTACACTCTTATTAGGATTTACTTCTAGTGACCACCTGTCTAACCATGCCACCAACGAGCTAAGATCGTCCTGTGATGATATTCTGTCCGACATACTATGTATGGGTCTCCAAATATTTATGTAATCAGCGAAGAGCAGAATGGATGATTTTGCAACAGTTGGTAATTAATTTACATAAAGTAAAAAGAGAATAGGACCGAGGATCGTATCTTGCTGAACTCCACTTTTTACAGGTACCCATGAAGACAGAGCATCACTAACCCTCACCCTTTTTATCCTATCATGGAGAAAGTTACTCATCCAATCTACAACTGTATAATTGATTCCAAAACATTACAGTCTGAATTTAAGACTAGAATGGGAGATCTTATCGAAATCTTCACTTAGATCTTTGAAAATTACATCTACAGGAATATTCCTGGAATGTTCCTGCCCAATCTTTTTTGCAATGAAAAGATTCATCAAGCATGATAGGCCTCTAATCAAACCGTGTTTTTCCCTGGAGAAAAGATTGTGCCCTTCAACATGGTTTGTAACAGATATCCGAATGATTATTTCCATCAGTTTTACAACTTCACTAGTTAGGCTAACGGGACTATAGTTACTAACTAGATCCCTATTCCCAACCTTATACACCAGACTTATTATAGCGTCTTCTCAGTCTCTGGGCAGTCTGGACTGCCTCAGAGACATGTCGAACAGTATCGCTAATGGTTCAGCAATTACATCTGATGGGGCTTTCATAATCCAAAGATAAATATCATCAGGACCACTGGACTGATCAGGTTTGAGAGGCTGAAGTAGCCTTAAAACAGTACTTTTTTCTATGACTACAGGGTCCATCAGTGAGCCGCCGCGATCACAGTGAATCGTTGGTCGTTCCTCATTAACAATAGAAAACACTACTGAAATATTCCGATAAAGCTTCAGCTTTTTCGGTATCATTTTCTGTCAAGATTAACGGATTTTCTTGTATCAAAAGTGATGGAATTCCATCGCTTCTCTGAGTTTGCCTTTTTAAATACGAGAATAACCTTTTCGGACTATATCTCGAATCCCTAACCAATTGTTTTTCATATGATCGTCTAGTCTTACCTATTAACGCTTTACAGGTATTCCTAATCTTACAATAACTGGATCTGTATTGTTCTAAGCCAGTAGAGACGAACATATTCCAGTACTTCTTCCCTTTTCTAAGAAGTTTCCTGACTGTTTTAGTCATCCATGGTGGACGGTTATTCGGTCTTCACCGTACCAGGTATGATATGAACAGGAAAGTAACTAAACTAAATTCACCTTTAAATACAGACCATGCTTCTCCAACTGATAAGCTAGTATCTACAAGCCAATGTCTTAGCAGCGTATTCCTGAATGGCTGACATGTTAGTTTTCCATACATTTGGGCGGGGTGTAACCTGATCGTATAAGATATCCCTAGTTCTAAACATGAATGACAAAACAGCGTGATCGCTGTTCACTAATGGCGGAAGAATATTTAGGTCGAAAATATCTTCAGTATCATGAGTGATTACCATGTTCAACAGAGAAGAACCTTGGTTAGCACCAAAACGTGTGGGTTTGGATATATGCTGCACTAGTACATGCTCCATTATTGTTATCAGGAATCTACTATCAAAGGAGTTTATAAATCCTTCAGAGGTCATCTCAGTCCAACTAATATCAGGTGCATTAAAGTCTCCTATTATCAAGTATCTGGTATTTGCACTCCAAAGATGAATGTGCTCTTAAATAAAATCATCAGCTAAGCAGATCGTGCTGCGATAGATGACACCGAGCATAAATGAACTACATTCGATAGCCAATTTGTAGCCAATGACTTCACAAGTACCGCTATCATGGGATTCACTAGCAGAAGAGCGGATATTTATATTATTGGCTATATATGACAGGACGCCACCTCCTTTTCTACATCTATGTCTATCACTCCTTCGGTAATGGTATCCAGATAATTCAGGAGTAATGTCTAAGTCATGGACTAACCAAGTTTCTGTCACTGCTACAATGAGTGGCCTTAATCTGTCCACTAATGCTTCTAGTTCACAGAACTTATTTCTTAGACTACGAGCGTTAGCATATAAAACTCCTAGGTAGAACGGCCTATCCACGCAGGCCTTGGTAGCATTCGCTTTCAAAACCTGACTATCCGAAAAGCCACTAACTGGAGATTTCCCTCACCATTTTGTCGGCGGGTTCCTAGTTCAGCTAGTGCTTTCTTCCTTTTTATTCTATCTTCGAGAGACATGTCAGGTCTAACTCGGATGTCAGAATTGTCGTGACAACGAGTGCTACTTAACAAGAGATCCCGTTGCTTCTCCGATCCTAGGATTACCTTAAGGAGTCTGCATGGACGGGATTCAACATTTTCCTCAGTCCTCTTACCTATTCTAACCAGTTTTTTGACCTGGACTCCTTTAGAATTATCTGGTAAGATACTACGAATATATTCTCCCAGCTCCTCTAAATCATGAGCGTGTCTAATTTTGGGATCAGGGCCGTTTGACTCCGGCACTTTACTTACAATAATTTCCGATGATATTAGATTCTTCTTCTCAGTCACGCCATGTTGGGTTTCTCTCTTACTGTCAGATTTTGGTAGTGTATTTTGTGACTCACAATGGAAGTCCACCAATGACTTGGTAACCACCTGCGTACTACCTACAGCTTTTCTCTTTTCGTTTCGCCTTTCTCCGTTTTGTAGTCCACTTTTTATCCCTCAGGACACTGGGACTATTTGGAGCGATGATGGTTTTATCCAGATCTTCAGTTTGCACTAGAGTTGCATGGTTAACAATGTTAGTGTCAGGTGGTACTACCCCCGTCGTTAATGCTAACTGAGATTTCACTTTTCCGTCAGTCATAGCCTTGTGTTTGAGGCGTCTCGCAGAAGCATGTACTAAACTGACACATTCGTCACTATCAGTGCTCGTGTTATTAGCGCATGGGCCATCGTTCTTCTTACAGGCCAAAGCCAATAGGCTCATAGCCTCATGTATTAGTAACATCTTATTTGGACAGCAAAGTATGCAAAGCCAATGTGGGTTAGACATAGAACATCTTTTGTATGCGGTGGGAGTTAAACAGGTGCACATCTTATGGAACCACTTTTTGAATTTATCACACTGCATTCCTTCCTCCACAGAGAACAAACAGTTTGGTTGTCCACATTTGTGAGTACTACCAACCACTTTAGCCAGATTAAGGTGTAAAACACAATATGAACACAAGTGTCAGTCAATGAGTAAAACGGTACCACAAGAAACTTTAACTAAAATACTTTGATGTAGATCAAGAATGCTTTTGATGCAGCAATTACACAAAAGCAAGGATAATCACAACAAGTACAAAACCACCGCCTTTTTCGAAACACGTGCCAATTCCCCGCTTCACCTTTGCGCGCAACACCGTGGTAAAATATTTCGTACAATGTATCTAAGCCTCAAAACTTGGAACTGGGTTATCCATTAAAAATTAAAGCTGTGTCAACGATCTTATCGGTTTGATTAAACTTCTGTTTGACTAGTAATTTTATAACCATCAGTTTTGAACCTAAGATTCAGCTCTATATTTTATTCACCTATTAAAAAATTCCGAAGTTTTTGTAGTGGTAGACAAGATCCAAAAGCAAATGGTACTGCAGGTTCTTGATATTGACGTCGAACTCTTTAATTCAACTGGATAAGAACGTAGCCAAACCTTCTCTATCAAACATGGACACCAGATCATGTTCAGATAGATCATGCTTCTCTTTTTGCCTACAACAATTAGTCAGCTTAGGTTACGTACACTTATACGCCTCAGCAATTTTTCAAAAATATCTTCTCATCTTTTCACTCCTAACCCCTGGTTTTACTGGTTTCGATGTATTCGTATAAAAGACATATCGGACGGCAGTGTTGGTAAGCATTGGGCATCCTCTTCTTAGAGGTATATTGCTGCTAGATCTACATTTTTATTTACTGGGGTATAGACATCTAATTTGAATACACCCTACTGCTATTTTCACACTTAAAACCACGGCAGATTTTGTGCCCCTTGGATGTTAAAGAATTTTGAAATGGTGATAATATTGAGTTTGCTCATTCCATGTGAATTTTTGAAGGGCTTTCCAGGATTGAATCAAAGCTCTGAGAATGTGCATAAAAAATGTAATCAAACCTCATATTAAGATGAATTTGTCTCAATATCGAACAATCTAACAACATCTGAAGTACTCTAACGTCGAGTTCGATACTTTTGAAAAATTTGAAGTCGTTCCAAACGTCTGATTTCGCGCCACAGACTTATGTCATCAAAGAATAATGGGTAAAGTCAAAGGAATATTAGCGCTGGAGTATAACC